ACCACAGCAATCGCTCTTTTCTCAGGTAGTTGTTGTTCTTCTGAACGCTTTAGAAACTTCTTTATTCTGTGGTTCAAATGCAAGGCTTACAATTCGTTGCTATAATCCTTTCGAAATATCTTGCTTGGTGTGTATATGCGAAAATGGGTTTACACTCGTCGTTAATCGGTGTGTTATGAATAAGTACGATGCGGTGAGATTTTTAAAATTTTTTACATTTATTAAGAGAGAATTCATAAGAAAAAAGAATTCTTCAAATGAATTAAATCCATGTCCTATCATATGAAAATTCACAAACTGGGGCACAGAATGGCTCAGTGGGTTGTGGTTTCAATTCGGATGGCCATTTCTGAGATAAGGATGAACCTATTCAAAGATCTGAAGACTCACCTGCACATTTGCTTAGTGCGACATGCAAGCGGAGCAAGTCCAACCAGTAATGTAAGACTTCTTTAAAAAAATATTCACAAATTAATTAATTTCATTTTTGTAGTTCATCTTGCAGTAAATATTTTGCAAATTTTTAATTTTCAAAAATTTTATCAGCTTTATCAGCAAACATGGATTTCCAACGGAAGTGTTCGTAATGCATCACAGCGAAATCCAAATGTTACTCTCTGGTTACATTAAAAACGGAGAAATATAGTGAAAATTGAATAAATTTGAAAGCGATCATGAAAAAGAAATTTGTAAATTATGAAAAATTTCGTATAAATAGAAATGTTCGTGAAGAAATATCATTGGTTAGAGATGATATAATCTTATCAAAACAAATCGCACAATGTGTGCTGTAACAATGGATAGATATTGCACGTTGCATATTAGTTCAGCAGGATCCCATTTTATCGCAACAGGTTTGAACTTACGCCGCTCAAAACCCGTATTTTTCTCGAACATCATCCCTCCAAAATAATTTGAGTATTTGTAATACAGTCAAATTATATTCTGCTGAAATATTTTATAATATTTAAAAACTATATTACTCGAATTTTTGTGGCTTCATTTCACAACAATAAAAGTAATTTTTTGTCTCGAACGAACGAACCCATAGAAGTTCGATAATTCAAAGAATACATTTCTATGATGCAGCTACGAACTGAATATAAATTATACTGAAAACTGGAATGCACAAGAGAAAAAACCATTATATGCGTCGACGATCATGACAAAATTTTGCAAATAATTGTGAATGCGAAGATTTCGCTCGAATCAAATTCATCTTTGTGATCTTTAACAGATGTCCTATGTTTGCATCCAATAATATGATTTTTTTGAAAATGCTTCCAATTTTATAATAATCGTTTTCGTTCATTTTATCATTGAAGTTCTCCATATTTTGGTAAAATTTCATTTCACTGCACTTATGGTAACCATTTTTTTCAAGGCACTCACAATGTCTAAATTGGTTACCATGGCCGATTAGAATGAATGAAGCTGGAATTGTGAGGTCAAAAATCCAACGAGCCTAATACCACCGTTGGATTTCATTTTTATGGGTAGATTTTGTTCTGTTGAGGTTGAAGAATCAAATTGTTTGATCGTTTTCATTACTTGGCTATCTTCTCCTTTAGCTTATGCAATACTTGGACTCGGAACAAGAATTTATAAATTTATATAAAATATAAATAAATTTATTAAATTAATATAAATAAATTAATATAAATAAATTTTATGTAAAATTTTGCGAGTATTTAACCAAATTATTCCCGAAGTATTTATAAAATTCTGAATTAATTAAGAAATAATATTTTCAGCTGATGAGCACCATTCTGTATATGGTGAAAGGATTAAAGCATTGATATAGCGCCCACTTTCGCTGACGCGCATGATGCCGTGCAATAACTGATAAAAATATTCTCGTTGTTTCTTATCTTCAGTTCGATCTCTGAGCAAAGATGTTGGTTATATCATTGAGGTATTTCGGATAAACGATTTTCTTGTCTGGCAGAACTTGATCAGTTCTTTAGAAATGGTTAACGACCCTATGGCTTGCACTCGAACCAACAAATTGAAGTTCAGCAAAGTTCAGCATTTGGACTGGATCATCAATACAAATTTTCTATTCTAAGTTTGATTGTGAGATTCTATGCAGCATGGCAAAACTTAAAATGACCATAGTTGGAATGAGTGCGTAAATTATGTCGCATTCTATGATTGGTAAATATAGCGTTGGCGTACAATGGACCAATGGAGAGCATCTTTTTCGTCGATTCGCCGTTTTCGCTTAGCCGAGAAATATAGGATTTTAGCTACCAACTTATGCTTCTGGAATTGAAGAATTTAGTTACATTCTCCGGGCAACCCAATACTCTCAGCAGAATGTGCCCTAATTAGGCTCTTAATTAAGTCCGGAGCACAGCTGCGGTTGTGCTGGCCAGATATTCACGCTAAAAAAAGGTGTTGCAACATCGCTTTAAATGTCTGAATATCTAAATATAAATATCTAAATAATCCATCATCACGTGGTGACTTTGCAGCTGCATTCAATTAAATTATAGCGCTTTGGTGATGAAATGTGAACAGTTTTCAAAAAAAAAATTCGACTCGTAAAAGCGTTTTATTAGCGTACGTCGGTGAAGTTTATTTATATTGGGAACTGGCACAATCCTTCGAAAAAAGAACTCGCCAAGGTCCTTTTCCCTACAATATTCAATTATGCAACAGATTGGATTATGGAAACCGCTTAGACAGGTTCAAGTCAGTCCAGAGCATAGTATCATAGATCTTGAATATGCTGAAGGTACAATTTTTAAACAGTTATGAAAAAAATGCAAAAAATGCTATTGTATATTGAAAACTGTAGCAAAAATCGGGCTCAGGATTAATACAAGAAAGACGAAGATCTTTCCGCCTTGCATAATAGGCACTAGTTAAATAAATTCATCAGGAGTTTTGAGAAAGTTGCAATAAAAGACGGGCAAAATTACAGCTCGATAATTAGAAATGCGTTCATTTATCTAGTGAAACTTATATGGAATCGCCGCAAAATTATCATAAAAATGGACTTTCTCCTTTACCTGGTTGGAGTGTTACTAGTGAATGAAGATTGTTAAGAAATTATGTTAAGAAGTTATCGGACTTTGAGCATTTACGGATATAAGACAAATTTTATAGAGCAGATAATATTTTACAAGTTTTCATCAACAATATCGCAGATGCCTCCTTCGTTTTTTAGGACATGCTCTTCGTCGCTGACCATAGAGCAGATAATATTTTACAAGTTTTCATCAACAATATCGCAGATGCCTCCTTCGTTTTTTAGGACATGCTCTTCGTCGCTGACCATAGGAGTTGACACATATTTCGTTACTTGCTAAACCCTGTGGTGAGTGGTGCTAAAAACGTGGAGAACCAATCATATCTGAGCTGATACAGTTAGAAAAGATTTGAAGGTATAGCAGGCCCAGTGATGGGCCTGTGGAAGAAACAGGCTTATTTTAATCATATAAGACTCGAACGTATTGGAAGCACCTTACCCTTATAATGGAATCAGCCTGGTCAGTAATGGTGATGTTAGAAAAAGAAAAGAAAGTCGGCAAAATCGATGCCAGGATGCAACAATTGTAAATGCAAAAGTGCTGGAAATTGTCCAACTGTCAGGAAACAATACCAGGTATACAGTAAGCTGCCAGAACATTGGAATGCCATAACTTCTAGATGCTCCAAACGAATGCAACAACAGAGAAACAGCTGAAAAAAAATGAATCTTGGATATGGAAATGAATGCTTTCCTAGGCTATGATAGGAAACTCTTTCGTTTTCGTAAAGCAATCATAAATCGAGAAGTGGTCAATGTAATAATCCGATATAAAGATTCTTTTATTTGGCTAGGCCTCTGTGGAATCACCGCCAAATCATCACTGAAATGAAAGTACGCTTTTGCTTAACGCACTGTCTTACTACATAACTGCCAAATATAGCCAATAAGACTACGAAAAGAAGTCCTTGACTATTCACTTCCAAGTATTTTGTCCATCGAGCAGATATAATCTCATATCTTATGGCAATTACCTTCAAATTACCACCTCCACTATAATTTCACCCTAATAATTTCATCAATAGGGCACCTAAACTAGTTTAGCCATATTCTTTATCTTTCATCACATCTCGCTATTTGCTTGGCGATAAAATGTTCAAAGAGAGAAGAACCAATCAAGACCTTGATATCTTTATATAATTTTAATGTGTAGACAGGATAGATTTTGAACAGACAGATGCAGTAATATAGGGTGGAAAAAAGAATGGCTTCTATCTTTCTAAGATATGGCATTGGATCGAGCGGCTGATTTATACATATAGCAAGTGGAGCTAAGTAATAATGTGAGCTATGAGAAAAATTTCTATGCACGAATTTTTATGAACTTTAAGTGCTAACAATTACGAAACAATTCGCGAGGAGCCTTTGACCTATAGAACAAATATCATAAATTCTACTGCATTGTAGAGGAAATTAGTTCCTTTGAATTCTCTTTCATATGATAAGCTTTAAATTTTTTTTTATCTTAATCGATTTTTAATAATGAACTGATAAATTAAATATTAGAAATTAATAAGAAATAAATAAAACCAAAAAAAATTTAAATTACAAATGAAAAAATACATATATATATATATATAAGTATAAAACGATTAGGTACCATTTTCCTTAGCCTTAGGGTGTTTTGAAATGAGTAGCAAATGTAAATAATTTCAATAAGTTTACTGGCTTTTAAATTTATGGAGATCGTAATCAAGGAATATTATCAATTTTTTCTAGTATGGGTAATATTGAAAAAACGAATAAATCTGATAAAATTCTGATAATCTATCGAAACAAATAGCTTAAAAAGAGAAGATTGCGTGCAATTTCATAATTTTACTCCTTACAAAATATATTCAATAAGAGCGATCGAGTATTTATTTCAGATCGCTCAATAATCTATTATAAATGACGATTATACTAAAAAAGATGATCATTTCTATGAAGGTTGAAATGTCGAAACTTCAGTAGATTACGATTATTAATCTCTCCACATATTTAAGTCCATCTGTTGGAGAGAACCACATCGTACATTTTTTCCTTGAAGCAAAAACACATCTTCCGATATTACTTCAAAATTATCGGCATTATTGCAAATTAGACTCGCCAAAGTAACCTTTCTTAATTCTTTTAGTTGAGCTGATGTGAATATGCCTGGATTCTCATAATAGAACCTGAGAAATGAATTTTTAAAGAATATTTGACAAAAATTTATTGCTTATGGATCAAATAATACTTAAAAAGTAAAATTAATAAAGGGATTATTTTTGATTATTTCGAATTTTTTGATTTGATTTAGCAATTTAAAAACTTTTGGATGGTTTATCATAAATCTGATAAATTCTGATAAATCTGATATCAGAACAAATAGTTTAAAAAGAGAAGATTGCGTGCAATTGCATAATTTTATTCCTTACAAAATATATTTTATAATGCAAAATGGTCATTTCATGAAATTCGTCATGGTAGAAATGGAACCAATTAATTAATAAGCAACGAATTGCCCGAAGAAAAATTCATTTTATTCGATTATTATATTGGCTTTAGACTTGAAAAAACCAATTTCTTAAAACTAACCGATCACCGTCTCGAAGCCTTTTGAATTGTTCACCAACTAAACAAGCGAGAGTTGGACCAACCAAACCTCCAATTACTGGATCTTCTACCATAGCACCAATATAAAGATCAACATTGTCTAAAATTCGCAACTGAATATAGGAAATGAAATAAAATCATAAATTTTTTAAATACCTGGAGATCCATAGATGCGTTTAAGTGTATCTCGAATATTTTTATCGCGAATTTCATCGCTTAATTCATCGAAATCATTTGCAAAACGTTTGCCACAAAAATTCCTCCAATGATTATATGATCGTATACCATGATCTCGGCCGCGTTCAACACTCACTGTGGCCAGGTCGATGCTATAAATGCAACAATCGCTTTTATGACTTATTGAAAAATATCTTTCATATCATATATCGTATCATATCACATCATATCATAAGGCTAAGATTAATATTTTCGTATAATCACTACGAGTGCAATCAGTCTGTTGAGAAGTTATTTGTATAAAACTAGCTGTTTACAATAACTATTTAATAAGCTTAGAAAAGAACCGGCGAAAAATCTATTTCTCCTATTTTGACTGGCATTATTGATGGAATCCAATAAGGTCTTCCTCTTTTCTTTTGCTAAAAGGTTATTGGGAAGAAAGATATAAGTGAGTTATTTAATGGTAATTTTCTCTTTTCAACAGGCAGTTAGTTTTTCCAGGATAGGAGGAATATTTTGTTAAAAACTTCTTTTCAAATTTCTTCCAGTATAATTTTAAATTTTCAATAGAATTGGAACCTTTCAAAAACTTCTTCTGTAATGGTTAAAGCAATACGCTGAGGCAGTTTAATAGGCATTATCATTAATCCTCTTAAGATAGGATCAATTCCTCCTTCAAAAAGTACTCTTTTTGATTTAAAAACACCATCTCTGAACTTATAGTCTGCATAGGAAACGTTTGAAGTACCAAAACGCTTAAAAACCTCCTGAAAATAAAATGAATAAATTATGGATATTATCGTATATATATATATATATATATATATTAGAATTGGAACATACTGTGATCATTCCATGACCAAATCGAAAAGCAGCACTTGTAAATACACTCGAGATAGTTGCATCAACATGCGGATCATAGCCTTCATATGGTCCGACTATTTGCTCCATAGAACTGCCCAATAACTTTGGCAAATACTCTTCGTAATTAATAATTTGTATCTGAGCTCCAATAATTTTTCTGGTTTCTTCGAATAAACGGTCATTTGACCAATGTGGATTATAACGGCGAAGAGTGGTAGCTATGCTGAAAAAATATTGCATTATTCTATTTTTCTTTGTACGCTTTTATACGCCTTAATATGAAAAAATATACCGATTGTGCTCTCGATTAAATATTATGTGCATTGATGAAAGGCCAATGAATAAATTAGCTCTCATGTCACCAGCAATGAAATGCACAATGCATTCATGACGAGATGGGCATTTCGTCAGGTCGAAGGGCAAGACCTGAATTGAACAATAATAAAGAGACCTCATCATTACTGGTTAAATTCACTCCGCTGGCTTATCACACTGGACAAATATACCATAGAGTCCCTTGGCGATAGTACAGATGAGTCGCTAACATCACCTGGATTATTGGGTGCATTCACTCCTGCGCAAAGTAGAGCCTCAGCACTGGCAAATTGAGCAATTGGCGACAACCCACTGAGCCATTCTACTTTCCACTAATAACTTTTAGTTGATAACAAATGATTAGCAGTGAAAGATTATCAATTATTTCTCAAGATTAAGAAAAGTTTTGTCTCACCGATTGATTGTTAAATGTTATCATTTTCAGAAAAGCGCTTCCGCCATCACGGAATTTGCTGAGATCTTTCAATGATGATCCATAAATCAATGATCCATCAATAAATGCTGTGTTTTCATTTAATTGCTCGCGTGGAACAAGATGTCGACCAGTACCACAAACTCGAGCTGCTCGTGATAGTTTTAAACAACCACGTCTTTGATATCTATAAATTTTTAATTTCAATATATAACACTAACATTAAGTTACATTAAATACACTAATAATAAAATTAAATACACTAATAATTATTGAATCGTTTTTACTTTGAATTGTTGAAAAAAAGTAGTCAAAAACAATTTCACTAATATTTATAGGTATTTAGCTGATAAAAAAGAAAAGTAAAATCGACTCCATATTTGTGTCGTTTGCTAAGATCGTGACTACCATGCATTGTGGCTTCACTGGATTACACATTTTGCAGGAGATGTGTGGATGAAAAGTAGTTTTAACGATATCGTGGGATATAAATTGGCCCCACTGGAAAATAAAAGCGTTGAATTTTTCATGTTTTATGTATTCATCACTCGCTAGAAGTGATCGAATCGCCTCTCGAGCAGATGGCCGAGTTTTTTGGAGTGACGCTAAAACTTTTAGATTATTTTGATCATTTGTGAACAATTTCTGATCAGATTGATAAATTGATAAAACTTCTAATATAATATTGGCAAAGTTCAATTAAATAAAAAATGGTCAGGAATGTTGCAATTAATTTTTTAAAATAAGGTTAAATCATTAATACAAAAATTTTCTTGTTTTATTGTGTGTTTATCATTTCTGACAAGGATCGTTCCGCTGACTTGTCGGATCAACCAAATTTTGCCAGGGAATCACTTGGTAATCATTTTGGTGAGTCAAAGCAAATTTTTTAGAAATAGATTTACGCCTACCGAAAGTGTCGAAGCTCGGCATCGGCAATCCGGAATAACTTACCAGTCTATTGCACTCCTAGCGTAAAGTTATGATGGTAAAACTTACAAACTGGTTTTCCAACTCCATCGTCGTATGCGGATGGCAGAAGTCTAAATTAAAACCTATTTTTTTTTATATTTTTGAATAAATCCTGAACAATTTTAATAAATCCACTTTTTCGACATGGCTTTTTATTCTTAGAGATAAATAGCTTTGAAATGTATTAAAATTAGAAATACAATATCGATAATTAAAGATGAAATTTGGTATCTTCAATAATACATCTATAAATCTATGGGGTTTTTTAGGATAAATTAAGATAACGTCTTAATAAAAAACAATATATTTATAAGAGGATTTATCAAAATCTTTGATATGATTTCGAAAGAGATTTAGGGAAAATTCTGGAATATTTTAGCAGATGGAAGCAGTCGCAATAGTGGATTCTACATTTATTTGATATAATACTGATAATGAAATTTGATATATATAGATATGGTCAAAAAAATTTTAAGAATCTATTCGCATTGTTTAAATTTTTTGTAATTTTGCGTATATCGTTATTTGCTAAATCCAATGATGAATAACACCCAAAGCGAGGAAGTCTAATTAAACCTGGACTGATACAGTTGAAAAGATTTTGAAGGTATAAGCGGACAAGCGATGTATGGATTTGGATGGTGAAACAAGGAATGGCTTCTATTATTCTATTACAGCGATGCTTGGACCGAACAACTTAGAAACGTCTTATCCAGCGGAGCTAGCGGAACCAATAATGGTGCTAGAAGAAGAACAATGAGATTATCTGATATTATCTTAAAAGTCTGTGAGGGATGATCAGAATTATTACATATGCAATCACAAGTTCGACATGAAAAACGGTACCTAAGGAAAGGTTGAAAAGCCGATCCTCGAGATGGACGATTAAAATTATTACATATACCGTCATATGTTCGATAAGAAAGATGGTAACACAATGACTTCAAACATTCTCTTGTTTTTAACTGGAAAATATCTGTGGAATTAAAATTTCAGACGTAAAAGTAATAAAAAGCAGAATCTTTTTACTTTTATATCTTATAATCTTACATATGTCCCCGGATTTTTGGGCAGGTTTTTACTCCTGCGGGAAATAGGACCTCAACATCGGCGGTCTGAACTGGACAACAACCCATTGATCCATTCTATTCCTACTTAATTAGTTTTAGGGATTATAAATTGTTATTTTACAATTTTTTTACGTTTTTTAGATTAAAGGGATAAACGACTTAAAAATAAAAGTTTTCTAAAATTAAAAGCATTTTCAAAACAAGTTTTGAAAAACAAAAACTTTGATTGCAGTATTAATTTTATAAACATCACAACTAATTTATTGTATGCTTGAAAATTGGTAAAGGACATTATCAGGAAATTTCTAGTGGATACTTTATCAGTTGGCTTATTCATTTAATCTACAGATATATGTGTCAAGGAAAAAAGGTATGCTATTATTTGCACAAGAAAGTATCGCCGAAAAGTTTAAAAGAATTTGAAGATCATTTTGAAAGTTAATTATTATCCTATTATTGTAAAGTGATCAACTTTTGGAACACATCCAGTATTCGCTGCCTTTTTGATTTCGTCAACTGATGTTAATTGATCAAAGGACACATCTTCGATCGGATTTACAAGATTTTGTCGTTTTAATTCATAAGAAATATTTGATAAATTTTTTTGGAGGATTAATTCACATTTCGCACCGTCTTCGATTGATGGAATGACCGATTCTAAAAAAAAAATAAGCCACATTATATTTTTCGTTTTTCTTCCTTACTTATGACAAATAGTTTCGGTCTTAAATTTCACCTTTTAAATCAAAAATTATTCAAATCATATGATAGAGGAATGAAAATAAAAAATTGATAATAAAAAATAAAATAAATCATTGCCTTTGATAAAATTTAAGAGAAATGAAAAATGAAAAAGTGAAAATGATAAAGGAAATTCTTTGCAAAAATTATTGAACAAGGTCGCTCGAAAAATTTTTTTGAAAAACAATTCAAATTAATGAATGAATTTCGAGAAAAAATTTCTCCTTTGTTTTTTTCTTCTTTATAAATTAATTAATTGCCTTTTTCAAAATTTATATGAAATCGTTTAAAGTTTACGAGAAAAAAATAGGAAAATCCTAAAGAAAAAAGTATTCTTCCACGCCACAAATTAATAATAAATTAAACCAAAATTATAAGATTTTTTCATCGAAAATTTTTCTTTATATAAAAGTTGGCAAAATTTTCGTGAATAAACATTTATTAAAAAAAAAAGAATTTGTCTGAATGAAATTTTCGCCATTTGTAAAAAATTTTTCTAATTATTCAATTCAGTAAAATAGAAATTTTGCAAATTTTCGAATAAAGCGAAAAAAATTCAATGTAAAAAAATTTTAATGAAAATTTGAAGATTTATTAGAAAAATAAAAATCTGAATAAATTTGATCCATTTCGATTTGAAATGAATAACTAATTTCATTCATCTTCAACGCGCTAAATTGAAATCGCCTTTTAAAATTTAACTTTATTCTCGAATTAATGTCAAATTAAAGAGAGAAAAGGCATAAAATCATCTAAGAAATAGCAAAAATACTAAAAAATTTCAGAGAAATCTCAAATTATTTTTATTATTATGATGATGATTTTATTATTATTTTTATTATTATTATAATGATAAGACTGAAGAAGACAAAGCGAAGTTAATTAAATTAAATATTCCATTTAATTTTCTTTTTCTTTTTCAATGGTATTTTTTTCAGAGAAATTCACGGGAACCTAAAATCCAATTCTTAATTAATAGAAAAATAACTATTTTATTTTCTACTTTTTTGTTGGGTATTTTCTTAGAAAATGATTGGATTGTTAAATTGAATTACAATAGTACAAATATAGCACTGATATAATATAGTGTATAATAAAAATAAAAGAATAAAAAGTGAAAATAGAATGAGGATGATAAAAAGATAAGGAGTAGCTCGCCATATAAAAATTAAAGAGCCCAAGCGAAATTGAAGCACCTGTGGGGCATGAATTACAGGCTAACTGGCAATTGACAAACATCCACTTGCTATTGACGTTACATTTACCAATAGATGCCCAAAGTCGACACCATTCATGTTCATCACAACAACCATTCGGTAAACATTTGAAATACGAAGTTATTGGCTGTGAAAGTTGTGCATCTATGGCTGTAAATAAAAGCTTGGCCAACTTGTTTCAGTTTATTTAAAGCCACAAATAATATTTGTTTTTATTATTTTCGATAATATTATAATAAATTAAGCGAAATATTGTATAAAATTAAAATAAAAGTTGATTTCTTGGCAGTAATTCGGAAAATTGCGTAAATTTTACAAAAATTACCATTATTTCCGAAATGTCATGTAAGCAATCAAAAATTATATTTCAATTTTATTTCAATTTTTACGAAATGAACGCTTATTTTTGAATATGAAGGAATAGGAATTTATTATATAATTGAATAATTTAAATTTCTTTAAATTAAAATGGGAAATTACCGATAAAATGAAGAAAAACTAATGCTCGATGCCAAAACATTGGCTCACATGAAATTGTAAATAAATTTTAAATTTTAAATTGACTAGGCCACCGATCGCAAGACAGAAATTCTTTAGATTAGGAGGAGCTCGTAGGATGGCAAGCAAGAAGGTTGGCAATAAGCACCACAAGCCGGTTTATGTAGTTTCTGTGTTTGTGCGCGATTCGCTTTATAATTTGAAAATATTTGAAAAAAATTAAAAAATTTTTTAATTAATATATTTTTTAGAGGATTGTTTTAATCTGATAATATTGAGAAAAAGAATCCACTTGCTTGCAATTTCATTAAAATTTCATCGATTTCATTAAAATTTCAAAATTTTGTTGTAGCGTTTTCCTCTTTTCGTATATCCAAAATTTTTAATTCACGAAAGAGTAGAAAAAAAAGGAAAAAAAATAAAAATATGCAAAGAAGACAAAATAAAAATTAAAAATCGAACTTTTAAAATTTTTTTAAAATTTTTCGAATTAAAAATAGCGGTTGAATAAGGAGAAATTAAGTTACGAGGAATTAGCGATGAGGAATTTTCAATTATTTATTTACATGAAATATGCTTTCCGCAATATTTGTTGGCCAAATTCTCCTTTAATATTGTTCATTTTGAATTTATAATGAAATCACAAATATCTCAAAATCTTAAATGAGAAAAAAACTATAAAAACTACAAAAACCTGAGAAATGCTTCATTTTCTTTTCTTGAAAATACATTTTAAAAATAAATTTGAAAGAAATTTTATGGTTTTTTTCCTTATTCGGCATTTTGAGGGGCTTTTCATCACTTTTTATATAAAGTAAAATTAGAAAATTGTCGCTCATTCTTCTTCCAACAATATGCAACATCACTGGTTAGGATTTTCACAAAGCATTTCCAAGCTCCCCCCCCCCCCCCTCCGGTCCGAATAAAAGCTCCTTCTTCGTTTAAGCCTAAATATTGTTTACCACCTAAGCGTTTGAAATCTTTTTTGACCAATCCAGGCCTTAATTGGTTCCTTCTTGCTTTCGGTGCCATGTACTGTAAAGCATTTAGCAAGATATATTTCAATTTTAACGGTTGGCGAAGAATATGATCTAACCAAAGTATATGGCGGTACCAGCAATGCACGTGGTACTCGAAAGAAGGCTGAAGCTATTGCATGAATATCTTTCACACTTAGAATCTATATAGGCAGGATTAGTCAAAAGCAGATATCAGATATTTTTTTGCCACTTTCCACTCTCATTGGCTATATTTTGCAGGATTAACAGGATTCTGTGTATTGCAGGCTGTCGCCTGATAATTAATCCTGTTTGAAGTAATGTTTCATGCAGAAATATGCTAAACTATAATAATTTGTCTATTGGTGTGATTATTTTCCCTATGATCAATATCTATTTGAAAATAAACTGAATAGAATTAGCCCTAAAATTAATATCAATATTATCCACCGCAAACAAATTTCAGCCAATTTCGATCCTTTTATAATTCTTTTCATGTTTCTTCTCCATTAATGTTGCTTTACAAATATCGATAAATAAATATATCGCTTTCCTTTTTCTTTCATTCAATTCCTTCGTTCTAATTTTAACAAAATTTTATTTAATTTTCGTACTTTAATTTAGCATCAAATATATAAGTAATCTAAATAATTTCAATAAAAAATTCGCAAAAAATTTCGCACTCCACATAAATAAAGTAAAAATTTTTGATAAAACTTATAAGCCAATTTCTTAAAAAATATTCTTCTGTTTTTTGCTATTTCTGTTAAACAAAATTGAACTGAAAGTTAAATAATCCTGGATAATCTTTTAAATAATTCTTGGCAGATCTTTAATGGAATTTTTTTCCTTTACCATTTCAATAAATCGATCAAAGTTTGGCTCTTCCTTTTTTTCCTGGTTCCACCTATTAGTGCTTGGATAACGTCTTTATACGATCACAAAATAAGGATCTTTGATATCCATAAATTATATTCAAATTACACTCGTCTGACAATAAGTAATTAGATATTTTATTTATTTTTCTTGATTTTCATAACTCTCCATAATATAGTCTAATAAGAATATGGAAAGGAAGGAAAATGCATAAGAGCTAAAATCAATTAAAACTAATTAAGATGAAGAGTACAGCGGCACGAACGATAAGCTTTAGCGGGACTAATAGTAGGATTTTTAGGGGAAACTTTTTCAAATTGACAGTTTATTCGAAGCTTACTTTCATTTTCTCTCTTTATTCTTCTGCTCTCCTCAAATTTTATTTCAATATTTAGTCCATCAATTGTTTTTCACAGAATTTTTTATGAGTTCTTGGAAATTCTCTGTGAATGAATTCATTTTCCAACTGTATGAGATTTATGCGGCAAGAATTTTCGACCGCTTTTAAATCGAATTTTCTCTTTTATATTTTATCATTTTATCACTAAACCAACAATCTCGAAGATTTTATGAATCTCATTCAATATTTTAAAAAATTAATGCTTTTTTCATTCATCGCTAAAGTTTTTAACTCGTTTTCTGATCTTTTTTCTACGAGATTCTATGACACAAATTCAAATTCAACAAAATAAATTCATTGCTATGAAATAAATTCACTAATAAACCGAAAATTACTTTGGTAAAAGAAAATTCGAGATTTATCGTCGTCTCGCAGACTAAAAAATTTTCCAATTTTTTCTCGTTTGCTAATTAATTTACGATTGAAATGTCATAGTGTTGAAATTGCCGTCGTTGAATTTTTCAACTTCTGCTAGTTATATTTTCTTAATTACAATTTATTGCTATTGATAAATTTTTGTAAATTAGATTGTACTAATAGCTGTGAATTAATGAAGGCAAATATTTTAGTTTTTTTCACAGTGAATTGCATGACAAAGCTTGAAAATATATTTAATATAAATTTGATAAAAATTTATATTAAAAAATTGATATTTGCGCGAGAATGAAATAAAAAAGAAAATTGCAGTTATAATCATAAAGTTAAAATTATAAGTTATAATTCGGAACAATAAGTTTATTTAATTTTATGAGTTATATAATGCTATAATATTTGTCTAAATGTCTAAAGAAATGTTGGTTTTTGGCAACATTTAGTTATAAAGTTTTTGCAGTTTAAGAATTAGCAAAAATGGAGGAAGAGAAGGGATTGGAAAGCGATGAGAGAGGATTGAGAAATGAATTATGCTTTACTGTGCTTTACTTGTTCATTTAAGGATTTTAAACCATATTTATGAGCAAGCAGTAGTATTTTTATTTCCACCACTTATCTTGCATATAAATCTAAAAATTATGCTAATTTTGCAGCGATTGCAGCAAAAGACGGGAAGTAATTACGCCAAGAAAAAGGAAATTTAAGGAAGTTTTAGCTAAATCCATCTTCGATTCGAGCTGGATATTTTAAGCTAATTCATTTTTATCATTTTCAGCATTTGTTATTTTAGCGAATTTTTTCGTATTTTATATGGTTCTTGAAATCACGTTTTCCTTTGAATAGATGTAATAAACAAATGTTTTTTTTGCACACTGGGAAAAATTATTCTTCGCAGAACTTTGATCGACATTTCAATTTTCTGAATTGTTGAAATTCATGAAAATTTTCTTCCAAGGAGTGACTTCTTGAAAATCGTTATCAATAGCCATACATCTTCATATATTACAGTTTCTCATTTTTTCAGATATGCGAGTGGCTCATCCTTTTCATTTCTTTTTTTTACTTTTTTTTTTTTTACTAAACGTCTACCAATAAATTTATATTTTTTTGGAATTTATTGAAAAGTTTCACGCAGAAAAAAAATTTTAAGTGTCAATTGCTTGCTATTAATCTTCTTTTTTCTTAAGAATTTTTTAAATTTCGTTGTCACTTTCATCATTTAACTTGTAAGAAATTTATAAATTAAGACAATTAATGATAATTAAAGAATCCAATTTTTTACCATTTTTTATTAATTCAAACATTCTTATATGTGAATAATATTTCAGACATTAGCATTATATGGTTCGGTTGGCACTCGCCTTGATCTCAACTTATACTGAAATTAAAAGAGGCCATTTCTTTTCCACTCAATTTTATGAACTAGAAAATGAGGATGATGGATAATAAGAGGATAAAAAATATGCATATATCGTTAGAGATTGATGATTGATCCTTAAATAGCTATTGAGTTTAGTGCCCCCAAATACGCATAAAATTTATTAGTTTATTTTAATCAAATCGTAGAAAAGTGATTTAAAATTATTCGACTGAAATTTTCTGAGATTATTAAAAACAAAAGAATAATAATATTGGCAGGAATGTATCTTCACTAGTATTTTTGAATATACATAAGTGGCAGTAAAAGTGATCGCAATTTCATGAAAATCGTCCTGTATCAATATTATTCTTTCCACATTGTCAAATTCATTTGTGGAATTTGACTGCAAGGAATTAATGGACCGATACGAAGTGCTTCACGTGGTACGGATTCAATATTATCACCGTTATCACACAAAATCCTAGCGAGACTGCTTTTGCGGATTTCTTTGAGTTGTGATCTTGTGAAAATCCCAGGATTCTCGTAATAAAAGCTAAAATCGTGGTTTTCTATTTTCCAAAAAATATATTCAATATTCGATTCATAAATATATTAAAATTAACGATTTAGAAAAATAATAAATAACAGAGAAAATTATAATTCATGCCATATTTTTATGGCTAAGGAATTTTTATATTTTTCCTCACCGTTATTCATAATCTCATAAAGAAAGAATATTCGCTAAACCATTATTCTTAGTCTTTAAAATTTCTCAAATTTCTACCGATCTCCATCACGTAAACGTTGGAACTGAGGACCAATGATACAAGCAAGTGTCGGACCTATTAATCCTTTTACAACTGGATCTTCCATCATAGCGCCAACAAAAAAGTCTACTTTATCTGCAAAATGTTATAATTAGCTTCGAGCTTTAAAAGTTTTAATAATTATTCGAAAAATTAAAAAATTTATAAAATTTTATGAAAATTTTTAAGAACCAAAATTCTACGCTTAGAATTTTCGAAATGTTTGACCTGGAGATTCATACATCGATTTTAATTTGTCGCGCGCTTTTGTACTCAATATTTCTCCTGCGAACTGCAATATTCACAATGGAAACAATAATAAATTAAGTTCCATAAATATTTGCAGAATTGCAAAAATAATTACCACTATTAGATTTTATTAAATAATAACAGATATATTTATATATTCTTATTATTATGATAAATATATATATATATATATATTTTATTATTAATTCAAAATTAATTTAAATAAAAATTTTGAATATAAAAATCACATGGTGAAATGAAGTTGCAGGAGTCATTCCGCAAAGATGTCGAAATTTCACGTATGGTGGCAAACCATGGTCACGACCACGCTGAATATTAATGGTGCCAAGGTCTGTGTTGCCAAACATCTTTTCAGTGACAGCTGGTGTAAGACGCTGTGGCCGTTTAAGCCTTGTGAGCATCATTCCTCGCAATACCGGATCGACACCTCCCTTTAATTTTTGCAATCTTTGGTATAGCAGTTCCACTCACTATTTACAACACAATTTTTTTCTAATGAAAAGCCTCTTCGATGATTGTTTTTAGCTTCCACAAAAAAATAATGACCACCAGTAATCATATTAATCGCATGTAAAAATTGAATTTCATAGATACTAGTCAAATCAGATGATCACGACTGAGGTAAAATAATTGTGCATAGTGTAGGAAAAGTTGGAAATGCATCTCCCCTAATTGGGATCTCAAATAGTTCAATGTGGAATTGGAACCCATTTTGCACCGGAATTCTGAAAACCTTTATTGTAGTAAACAGCTTTATTGTAATAATAAGCAAATAATTGCATTTCGCTGAGCTGCTTATTAATATAATAAAAGATTTTCAACTAGACAGCCCCTTAGACATAATCTAGATGGATGAATTATCAGCACGCTCGGACTTTCTAGGCCTCGGACTTTTCGCTTTCTGTCAAGGTCCAGAGCCTAAGCTTCACTTGAGAGAAACAATAACAACTGCCTGCCTATTTTGCCTAGTAACTCACTGAATTAGCCAAAGGAAAATTAATACATATTTAGAAGATAACAGCAATCAGTATTGCAATTTATATATGAACAAAATAAGTAGATAGGAATGCAAAAATATGATAGCCAGTATAAATATCATTACTGATATAAAATAAGCCATTGCTTATCTAAAATGATTTTTTTTTTAATACCAGTTTCCCATCCTTAAACTAAAATTTTTCAGTTAAGTTCAGCGGTTACTTTTATTTAGCTTATTTTTTTGAATATGAATTTATCATTTTGAATGAATAAATATGAAACCTCGAATAAAAGAAGATCGGAGCGTAAAGTGCCTTCACCAAATTGATAGCCACCGAATGAAGTATTCTGATTATTGCTATTTAAATGTGGATAAAAATCCTTAAAATCATCTCATTTGCAACATTTACCATTTTAACTTAGAAAATTTATTGAAGTAAAAATTTTTATCAGAAAAACGTTGAAAGGAATTTTGTCACCTGAATCATGCCATGCCCAAAACGAAATGCACCAGAGTTGAATTCATTAGCAAGTGTTGGATCAATATTAGCGTCATAACCATTATATTCCCCCACTGTACTTGCAAATGAACTACCAAGAATTTTTGGCAGATATTCCCTAAAAGAGAAAAGTTCAAATCGCTAACGGCTATGATTTTATTCTTTTTATTAGGATATGGCAATCGTGTGGCTGCAAGTTCAAGGCCCATAAATTGCCTAACATCTAATAACACTTAGGCTCTGAAGAGGATCTCTCAAAACCTTATTAAATGAATATTAATTTAGGGGATAGATATTCAATATCAATCCGGTGATAATAAATTTAATAAATTGATTAATTATGGGTCTAAAAATGAGACCTAAATTAAGGATGAATATACGGAATTTTTACCGAATAAATCTCCAATTTTTTATTCGTGATGGTTCGATCATAAATAAGACATAATTTACAAAATTTGCAAATTTTGAAAAAAATAGGAAAAATTGTTTCGATAATTACCTGTATGTGATAGCTTGAATCTGAGCCCCAACTATTTTTCGAGCTTCCATGAATAGGCGATCGCCATTCCAGTGAGGATTAAGGCTTTGTAATTGCTTTGCTATTCTACAGTGAATGAAACATATCTTCGGAGGAAATTAAAAAAATTTATTATCTAATTGCTTAAAACTGCAATTGTCCGTAAATTTGAAGTTATTGCAACGAATTATTATTTAGCGAAAAACACCTGTTGTGTTCTTTGGCAAGAATAATGTGGAATGAGCTGAGGCCCATAAATAAATTCACTCGACTATCGCCAGCCAAAAATATTACAGTGCATTTTTCTTTATTTTCGCACTTTTTTGCATCAAAAGGTAATGTGTTCATCCCATTAAATTTTTGAAGTTTGAGAAAACCAGTACGCCCCTCGCGAAATTTTTCATTGTCCTGAAAATAATGAATTCTCGAAAATGAAATATATCATCTTCCAAATCCGTTATAAAAATTGGCGAAAGATGAATAAACCAGTAAAAATGACCAAAAATATCCAACCTTGATGCTTGAACCATATATAGGTGATCCATCAATAAAATTAGTGTTTTCGTTCAGTTGTTGTCGCGGCTTCTTATTTCCTGATCCACAAATTGCGCTGGACCGAGATACGCGAATACACCCTCCTTTCTTGAAGCTGAATTTTAATCAATTTCAGATCTCCTTCAGTTATGATAAATATAATAAGACCAACTTGATCAACATTCAGATATACTTTAAAATTTCCTGTTATATGAAATAATTTGAAAATATAACTTACATTCCATTTGGATCAGTTGATTCAATAGGGATCGCCATACAAAGATCAGTGATATTTTTGCAAACATTGCATTTTGCTGAAGGAACGAGTGTAGTCTTTGCCATGTCGTGGGTCAAGAATTGACCCCATTGCATCATCAGTGCATTATATTCTGGATGATGTACGGTCTTACGTGAAGCAAGTATTGTGCGACTAAGTGCTCTTGGACTTGGTCGGAATTGTCGCGTAAATGCTAAAAGTAAAGTCATGAATATTCTTATTCTCTCCATTTATTACAGTCGAAATAATTAACCGGTTCTATGAATGAAAAAGTGTTGTTTTCAACAAAATATGGTACCAAAATAAATTTATGGCTTCTTTACATCTATCATAAGAGAAATAAGTTCAAACTTACAAACAGGTTCAGATAATCCATCATCATATTCAGGTGGCATCAATCTGCAAATAATTTTTTCGTTCTTTTTCAGTTGAAATTTTGTCTTATTCCATAAAATTCAGCTATTTTGAAAAAAATTAACTTGATTGTAAAAATTTTCAATGTAAACGAAAATTTTGTGAAAAATTATTTATTGTTCTTTATATAATTTATATATACTTTATATAATTTATTTCAAATTTAAAATTCCTTATAAATTTACACAGTTGAATGATATAAGGAGACAATCTGTATCACTTAACTGGATCTATGATCAAGGTAATCTCATACTAACAGTTACTGATGGTGCCTAATCAATAATGGTGAAGTACTAAAAGGTGTCTAATTAAGTGGTCCAATTTTAAATGATATTAAATTGTCCAATCAAACAAAAAAAGGAGATAAGGATTATTGATTGAAAAATTATAAATATTCGATCTATTAGATATATTAAATACCAAATATATAACTGATATTTTTCTGACCAGACCAATTCATAACAGAAATTTCCGATCATTTCACTAAAATAAGTCAGATTCTGTGGTTCTTTTCCTAAGTGACTCTTAAAAAACTGGCTCTAGTAATTTGTTCAAACCATAGATTGTATGAGCCACTAGAAGTGTATGAAGAAATATTATTTCTTTAGTCCTTTTTAGGACTATTCATATCCCCTCACAGCTTATTGGTTAAAAGAAAAATAGATAGCGAATTGCGCTGTAGACTGTAAAATGGTACTTTAAATTTTAAAATGCGAAGCAAATTGTATTGCATTTATTGGAGAAGAGTGGCGTGGAAATTGCGTACCTATTGTAGGGTCGAAAAGCTGCACCACGAAGCGGTTGTTGTAAGTTATTACAAGTTCCATCAAATGTTCGATAGTATAAGTTATAGCAAATAGATCGTTCACATTCAGCTTCATCAAGCCTCGGCACGCAAGCATTAGCAATATTTGAGCGTATTACTTCGTCAACTGACATAGTATGACGCCCGGAAGTATCTAAGGCATTTCAGAGTCGGACGAAGGCAAATAAGATTAGGTAAATGATCGAAAAAGGAACAAGGAACCGAACCTTCGAGGGGCACAACAAGTTTTTCTCGAATGAGTATTTCCGCAGTATTTCGAGGATCGTTTTGAATTCGTTTGCAGCGCATTAATCGCGCTTGTCGCGAATTCACCGTCTCCAATCTTATTTTCGATCGTCGGTTTGTCTTAATTTTTCTAAACATATTGTCGCAATGATTTTTCAACAATTAATTTTTTAACTTTTTAATAAATTTTTAATAATTTTAACAACAATAATTTTTTAATAAATTTTAATGAAATTTTAATAGCGATAATTTTTTAATAAGTTATTGATAATAATTTTTTAATAATGAATTGGTTTTTTAAATAAATTTTTAATAATTTTATTAAAATTTATAATTTTTTAAATAATAAATTAAGTTTCCAAAGTTTCGTAAAAATATTTTAAAATATTGTAATTTTTTCTTCCATCAAATTTTGGTACTTTTTTTATATTTTATTATACCTTTTTTATATTTTTATATTTTAAATTTTGTATTTTTTCAAGTTTTATTAATAATTTTTATTTTATCAATTTTTTTTTCGCTAATCGCTGAATTTTTGTATAAAAGCAATGAAAAGCGATGACATCTTAGTTTTTGATTTATTTATTTTTTTAATTTATACTAAAGCATTTGCTGCAATTTTTTCCAACTTATTTCAATTGAATAATAAAGTTTACAACTTCGTTGATCGGATTGCTTCCGTGGATCTATCACGAAATTTTGGTACATTGGGCGTCGAACTTTTTACACGTAAGCCTAATGGCCTGATTGTTTTGTGAGATATGCGTGAGCGTCCAACTGTACCTAAAAATTTTTTGGCTTTTTACGACATTCGTTAACTTTATTTTTCCCGATTTATAAGCCAAATATTCCAGAAATTATTTAAGAAAGCAAAAAAATATTCAATAATTTGTTGTTTGTTTCGCAAATCAACTGAGTTTACACAAGCATATGCCATGCGAAAATGCGCGTACCAGAAGAAAATTCTAAAAACACCAGTATATCTAATAGCAAATATTAGCTTCTGACGACCAAAGGTAGAGAAACGGTGAGAAACCTTATGATGTCGCCAGACTAATGGCTACGTTGCACGGTGGAGCGAGTCCATCACTAAAGCTAAATCAAGATACGCCACATATTATTCCGATGCTTGCTATCAATGCAACAGAACAATAAATAATTGCCGCTACTTAAAAACTTTTGACCATTAGGACTTCTGGAGATTCAGTGCTGAGTACATTGCCTTTTCACATACTGCTCAATTCTTTCAGTGGATGTAATCATATGGAAAAAGGAACCAATAGCAGGTGATTGCTGAAACACAATCCTGTAGCAAAACTTCAAAATGGATAATGGGTTGCACTGTGGGAATTATCGAGGAAATTTTCGCTGTCCTTTTGAATAGATTTATGATAGCACAAAATAGTGGTGTTGCTCTAAAGAATATCCACGCATCAGAAAAGTATACGAGTGTTTTAAAAATGAGCAATCCATCGGCACTTGCAGATTTTGTATTTGATTCATTTAGTAAATTTACAGGTCGAAGGGCGGTGAAATACGATGGTTCCGCTCATTAAAGCATTTTACGAGCGTACATTAGCGTGATTCTAAGTATATTTCTTTTCGAAATGCATATTTATCTTTCTCTGCAATATTCAACTGCATAAATTACAGGCTGAATTATTGATACTGCTTTCATTTAGTCACGCTTAGGAGATGTGCAAGAATATAGCGCCATAGAACGGTCCTCTTTGCTGACCGTTTTGCCGATGAGTTATGACTAATGGTCACTGCGATCGTAAAACTAGAACTCCGTATTGACGTGAATAAAATCTATTTTTGTAAAATCATTGCTAGTTGAGAAATTATTGCATTTGAAATATTATGAGCCCACTTTTGTTCCAAATAACAAAGCAAGAAATAGAAGTCCAGCTGCAACTAAGAATGTTTCCTATCGTCGGGCATACCAAAAACGAAGGTTTTCGCTTATTTAGCTGCAGTACCCACTAATATTTCTTAATTGGCGCAAACTCGTTAAGTTCTTCGATACATGGAGTTAAAGGCGAGCAACTAAAGCCTGAATTAAAGTGGCCAAGAGAGATTAGGTGTACCATCGATACAGCAATGATGCGACCATACATACACCATAGATCGCTGTTTAGCAACAATTAGAAATTTTTTCATATAACTTATTCAATCTTGAAATTCAGTGATTTCAGAAAAAATATTGCAATATCTAATGAAACAACTTTTTAAGCGAATTGCAATATAAAATATAATAAATAAGTAAATTAAAAGCTAAATGAAATAAACGAGAAGAATCTTAAATAATAGAAGTTTTTATTGTAGAAAAATTACGATCACTTTTTTAATTTAAGACTATTGAAACCGAACAATTAATGGAGTTGTTTCTTGAAACGTTAATGATGGTAAATTGCTTGGAAAAATTTTTCGATAAACTCATAAAAACAAAAATTAAAAATTTTAAAAGGATTTTTATGAGTTTTTATATGTAAGCAAAATGCAACTCACATAAATTTTCTTCAAAATATCTGTACGAATTAATTAAAATAATTTAAAATGGATTTTTTCGAATTTTCGAGAAATGAATAAAAAATTATTCCGATTTTTTTTTATAATAGAAATTTATCAAAACTATTGAAGAGAATTTTATTTCACACATTAGAATTTATAAATAATTTCTACAATGGAAGAAAAAATTATGGGAAATTTTTCAGGAAATGCATGCAAAAAAGTTAATATTCTAAGGGCCAACTCGGAAAAAATTCTACAAAGATTTATTTTCTTATCATATTTTTTTGTGTCTTCTTTATCATTTAAAATTGAATAATTTATCACTTGCAATTAAATGATTTCTAAAATAATTTCACAGATATTTTCTGAGTTATTCTTATTTTATTCTTTATTTCCTTATTTTCAAAAAATGCCATTCGAAGAAAAAGAAATCCATGTGCTTCGAGAAATAATAAATATCATTAGACTGAACACATTAAAAATTTTCGCTATAGAAGTTTTTCTCAGCCTATTGGCCATTCAATTTCTTATCAAAAAGTCATTACCATATACAATAAATGATACTTTAAAAAAAGTTTTATGACAAATGCAGAGATATTTATCAAATTTATCAATAAATAAAATATAACAATAGCTACAACTTGTTTAAACGAGCAAAAATTCATAGAATTGATTGCTGATAGATAGGTTGTATTTGCATGAAAGAAATTTTCTATTTTCTTTGTTCGTTGATTTGAAAAAAAAGAAGATTTTACGAATGAATGAGGAAAAGTTGCTACCAAAAAGCGAATTATTATGGCTTTTTAAAGTAAAATAAGTGCTCTCGTCGAAGCCAATCTTATAATGACACTTGAAATTTTTCAACAGTCTGTGATGATGGTTCGTAAAATTTAACATGTAAAAATGAAAATAAAAATTTCTTCATTCGCATGCATGCAATAGTATTTTTTATAACATTTTTAAAAAAGTGACGATAAGTGGTAAATCTTTATATTTGAAATAATTTAAAAATTTAAATTGCAATTGTATTGTAGAATTTAGAGATAAATTTTTTTTTTGAAGAGAGCTGACCATTTCTGGCTTAACTGGCCTCATCGGCTTGTCGAACCAGGTAAATTTTATTTGAGTGCCACTTGACTGGAAGTAGAGATGGCGCAACTCAGATTTTTGAAGAATAGGTTTTTATACTGCTGGAATTTCGATCTAAGGAGCTATGAAATGGAAAGCTATTTTTACTCCCGCAAAAAATACATATACATAGTTAATTAATAGTTAAATGGCGATAAAATAAATAATTTTGCAATTTAGTTTAGTTTTTTAGCAATTTAGTTTACATTTTATCGATATGAATAAAAGAAAAAATTGTCAAAATGATGAACTTGTCTTTCTTTGATTTTTTGTTGTTTAAATCAAAACTATTTTAATTTTAAAAATTTTTAAAGCATTTTTTGTTTAATGTATATAAATTTCTTTGAAGCTATAAAACTTCTTTTTTAAAAACCTGTTTGTTTATTGGAATTATTTATTAAGCTAATAGTTATTTTATATTAATATTTTAATTTTAATTTAGTAATTTTAGTAATATTTTAATTTTAATTCGTAATTTTAATTTTATTAATAATTCGTAATTCTCTTAATAATTTGTAATTCTTAACTTATTTTGAATGATAAATTAAACTGATTTTTTAAAATTTCATCAGATCAAAAAGAAACATCGTTGCAAAATAACAGCCAAACGTAAAGTAACCATACTAGAACCATACTTGGAACGATTTACCTGAATGGCTACAACTCGCGCAGGCTAATTGGCAGTTCTTCTCCATCCAGTCTTTATTAGCAATGCATTCACCTACCGATGCCCAGAATCGACACCATTCATGTTGGTCACAGCATCCATTACGACGGCATTTAAATCGCTCTTTTATAGGATTTTCATCATCGCCGTTAACTAAATTCAAACTATTATTCATAAATTCCCAATAAAATTTTTCCCAAAGGCTTAAGAGGAACAATATTCGGATAGCGAAAGACAATTTAATAAACCAACTGGAATGAATAATTATATAGAAACATTTCTTTAATTTTGATAATCAGAGCATAAGGAATATATTTGTACTTAATAACTGACAATTGAAAAATGCCATTATTGATAATGGCAATGAAAAATTACATAATGGATTATTTTGCATGAGTTAAGGAGATATCTTTCCTAATAATATATTTTTAACTTTATCACTCATCAAATTAACCAATCTTTTAATTGATCTCACACGCAAATAATCAGTGAAACCGAACCAAAAAATTATGCAAGTGATTTGATAATAATTTGATAAAAGAAGGTTTTTTTAAGTTTTAATCGAATAAGAAATAATAACTAACCTTTTATAAATAATAAAAATATAAAATAATAAATATGCATGAAAGAATGAAATTTTAAGGGAAGGACAACCTTAAAATATTTATTCGTAAATAAAAATGGCAAATTTTTGCTGTTCATTTATTTAAAAAGACTTATTTGCCCCTCCTTTCATTTTCTTTTTTCCTTTTCGATCATTTTTTTGTAATTAAAAATTTTTTTTAGATGAATTTTTTAGATAAAAATGATTTTATTAACACTAACTTATATATAAGTTAAAGTCATTCATAGGCATAGCCTACCATTTTTTACTATTTTTTACTATATGTAATGCCTGATCTGTTGTTTTCTCAGGCCCATAAGGCCTCTGCCGTTTCAGGTCTAATCTATCATTTTTACGGCCTGGACTACCGTTTTTATCATACATAATTCCTGGCCAACCGCTACTTCTGAGGCTAAAATGAAATTTCGATCATCTTTTCTATTGAAAGAAATATTATTTTATTATTATCATCAATTATTAAAAAAATTATTTATATGAGTTTTTTTTAGGTAAAAATAATTTTTTCAACACTCATTTATTCATAAGCTAATTTGAAGCCATTTAAATAAAAATAAATACTCATTTGTTCAGTTTTTGATTTTTGCAAATTTTTTAATTTTTATTAGCTTCGATTTTTTTTCATTAGTTATATAGTTTTATAATTATATTATATAATATATTATATAATTTTATGTTCATTTAGTATAAGCGACACTTTACCATATTGAATTTTTAATAGTTTCGAAAAATTTATGAATTCAATTTCACTGCGATTTCTTATCACAAATTCCACTGTTTTTCATTTTTCTTTTTTTTAATATCTTTTTTTCGTCATTTTTTATGAAAATAAAAAAAATCTCAAAAAAAAATTTGGTAATTTTCTTTATCTTTAGAAAAATTTCATGCAATTTTCGGTATAAATTTACTATTCGCTTTTTTTTTAAAGGAATGCACAGCTGTCTAAGATCGCTCCATTAGCTTGTCGGATACGACAAATTTTGCAAGGGATGCATTAGGTGGCGGAACCACATGTCGATTGCTAATATCACCTGGATTTTTGGAAAGCGTGCTCATTCCAGAAGTGGAAGAGTGCAAATGAGAACAACAACCCATTGAGTGATCCTCTTATACTTGGCACATTTTTAAAACGAATTTAAAACGAATTCTATTTGCAAAACGAAAAAAGCTGCCGACCCACAATTGTTTTATCCATTTGAAATTTTTTAAGAGCATTGTTCTAGGCCCATCTGTTTCTAATTTTAAAAAGACCAAATGACGCCTTATGTAAGCCCATTAAAGACGCAAAATATACGCTTCTATTCCTTTACGCTTTATATGAAATTTTATGCACAAAAATTTTTATTTTTGTGCATAAAATAATATTTGAATAAATATTATTAAAATACAGAACATAATATTTGCATGGAACAATTTGGTATTTTATTCTTTTTTTCCTTCGAAAATTAAAAACTAAACTGCTTTGCAATTCACATATTATTCTTACTGCATAATTCTCTAATCCAACAGCATAGCCATTCGCCTTACTTAAAACATATTTTTTGCTTATCTTTCAGCTATCCAAGCGTTTTTTCAGCTAATCTATAATATTCTTGTGGACATAAAATCACACGGTGGATTGTTGCTGAGTTCCGAGCGTCGATGCAGAGATTCTATTCCTCACAGGAAACTAAAAATCCGGATGATGCTGGCGACTTATCTGTACTTATACTTCTATCCCTGGCATGTTTCTCTAGTGCCGTGAACTAGTGGAGCGAGTCCAACCATGGTGAGGGATTTTAAAAAGAAATATTCTTATGGACACTACTATTTGCTAGTTGGCTGCTTTGAATTGTTCTAATGAAATATTATTTATCATCGTCGCATTTAATGACCATTTACATTAATCAAAATTGCAATCAGTGAAGTAAAATAATATATAAATTTTTGCAAAGTTTTCGAAAAAAATTTGTGGTTGTTAAAAGACAATAAATATCTTATTTTTTAAATGGTTTATGCCCTTTTTTTTTATTGCTTTTCATTCCAGAATGAAAAAAATTTGCTAATAATATATTTTTACATTTCAAAATTTATGCAGACATATATAAGTATATATATTATTTGTAAGAAAATATATATTAAATTTTAGGGAATTTAGGGAAAAATTTTAGTTTCTTAGTGATCATAAATGGCCATTTATTGCCTATACAAAGAGAAATTCTGATTAATATTCATTAATTTGATTAGAGTCACGGATAATTGGCTGATAATCCGATAGTTATTTTAATAAAATAAATTTTATAAGTTTTAATTCTTATAAAATAAATAGTATAAATAGTAAAATAAATAAATCACAAAATTCCAAATGTATGAAGCAAGATACATAATCAGCCATAACGTTCATTAATCAGTCGTAAGATTTGCCCGAGCTTATTTAGATTCGATTTTGTGAAAAATTATTTTGTTCTTTTAACCTATTTTTTGATGTATTAGCTCTATAATTAAATTTAGGAATAAAGTACCAAAAACTTTTTGAATAAACAAAATCTTTATAAATTTTGATAATTTTCTATAAATTTGAGATTATTGTGATATAAAAGAAAATTTCCAGTTTTTCATTTTTCTTATCGTTCGAATATTTATGTTTTTTTTAATTTTCAGCTTTTAAACGAATGTTTGAAAAAAGAATTATAAGAATTGTTTTTATGCTCAAGTTTCTTTGGTATGGAATTCGCCTATAAGAGGAAGGGTAGCAGAGTGGATAGCTCGAATTATCGCAACGACAAGTAAGAACTTATTTTCGGAAATTCCTCATCAAAAAATCCTGGTAAAAATTCACCTGTATATCTAATATATTCATTATAGTACTGCTATTTTCATGGGAACAAAAAATTAGGCGTTAGGAGATTTCTGAATATTTATCTTATGCCATATTTGAGTGAATTTTGCAGTTTTTATGATTTTTGAATCATTCATTCAATCAATCGTGTCAAATATTGAATAACAAAAAAGATTGAAGCGCTTAACTGTAATACCCACTGGAACCAGCCAGGCCAGAGATGTTGCGCACTATTTTAAGGATTTCAAGAAACAGAAAAAAATTGCATTAACCACAATGTTATCAATAATCAGTTAATGCCCATTTCACTAACAGGCATATTAACAATAGCTGCAACAATAATTTTTGAACCAAAAGCCAGAAATATCCGGATATCATCACTAATTGCTTTCTCTGGCTCCAGTCGGTGAACAAATGTGCTGAAACTATACGTTTTTCCTGGCACTAAAGCGGGTAGAGCAATCAGAAAATCCTGAAGTGAATATAATTCCTTGTTATAATGAAATATAAGCCAGTGATTCTCGAGAGGTTGTGTGCTGAAAAGAGAGAATGTAAATCGGAATTTTTAATGGTGCTAATGTTTTGAGAAACAATCATGATGGCGAAGCCAAAAGACCAACCAGATTGTTTTAATCTTAACAATCATCTTGAAAATTGGTCCGAAACCATTTATCTCCGCAGATATGTCAACCGTTTCATCTTGTTTTACAGTTGACGTATTCGTAGAGTTTTCCATGAGATTAGCGAATGCTTTAGTCACTCCAAGGCGAAGCATGAAGAGGTCACGTTGAAAGACCTATGAAAATGCTATAAAAAATTCATAATTGAAAATTAGAAACTATATTTGTCTACTCACAGTATGAATTCGCAATTTTTTTTACCGTCTTACAGTAACATTAAAATGAGACAGCGTGCGATTGGCATTGGTATAAGCGACTGATAAATCTTCGGCAGTACAATTCTTAACTTTTTTTTTTCTTTGATTAGTTAATCATTTTATATGACAAATAGAAAATTTCTAATAAAATTTAAAAAAAGAATAATAAATATGCTTGAAAATCTATGTTGAATCTATGAAATCTATAAAATCTATATGAAAAAAAATTTTTCTTTTGAAAAATTTTCGAAACTATCAGTTAAAAAATTTTTATTGAATTTTTGCAACAATCTCAATAATAAATTAAGAGCTTAGTAGGAAATCGCTGATTTTGTTCGTGGAATCTGTTGAAGCCGTCTTTTAAAATGTCAAAAATTATCCGATCGAGTCTATTAGATAGGGTTTATCAATTACCATCAGTTTTAGGCTCTTAAATCACCAATCACTAATAATTAGCAATAATAATTACAATACCTGATGCATAATCTGAGCTTGTTCTCGCTCTCGAATCGTTTGATCGACAAAAATTTTTGTGCGCCTTGGTACGTTCAGTTTCCGATTTTGTGCCACTGGAGGTCCTATTTGGCCGCAACATTCATCCAGAACTGCAGTTCTTCGAAAAAGCTTAATATTTAATCCTCCATCTAAAAAATATTGCGAAAAAGATTAGTATGATATTACCATGTAATCTTTCATATATATAAAATCCCTTTTTCATCCTCTTCTCATCCAGTGGCATAGTGTCGAGTCCACTACCACAAGTCTTGCTGCTTAAGGATTGTGTTCAATATCTTAATAGCATTATTCTGAGCAGAATTCTTTGATGCTTCTGGAATCTGTTGAAGTCTCCTTTTATAATGTAAGAAATTCGAAAGTCCTCCTACTTAATTTACTTCCACAAATCATAATCAACAAGAAAAAATAGCAATGGCAATTAATTAAAAGGAAAAGACTGGCAGTTCGAATCGCAAATGAGATGAGTTCTATGATTATTCGATGATATTTTAAGTAAAATGGTTATTTTTACTTCTTGAGCCAATTATCAGTGATCCTTCTTCTCTACCGAATCGACCAAACCGAATCCAATTTATTGGTACATCAATTTTGAGACGGTCGACCATCACTAATTTCTGGTAAATTCTCACCTATTAAGTAATTTGCTATATATAAATTGAATTGCTGGAAGAAACCTCGTAAAAAAAAGCAAAAAAAATTAAATGAATTCAAATTTTTGAGAAAAAAGTTTAAATAAATTAAATATTTGAAAAAAAAAATATTAGAGAAAAATGTATGCAAATTCACATTTAAAAATATTTTTTATATAAATTTTTCATAAAAATGCCGCATAAAATATTTTTTTTTGGTTTTGAAGAAATTGGATAACCAAATGGACAGTGATTCAAATCATTGTGTTCGGTTCGTTCTCGATGGCAATGAACCTTCCATTTAAAAAAATCGCGACCTACTTACATTTCTATCGCTAAATGACTCCTGATAAAAATTTCTAGGAAAATTAGTGGCCAGTTGAACCGCCCAGTTCAGAAATGGTGACCACCTTATTTTTTCCAGAAATCTTTCTATCTGATTAAAGCAATAAATTAATCATTTAAGCTCAGACAATTTAGATAGGCCAAACCATCTATAGAAACTTCATTTCCATAATGTCAATGGAACCAGAAAATATTGTGATGAAATTTTTAATGCAGAATATATTAATGAATATCGCGAAAAGAATTTTCTACAATCTTTTTGCGCGAATGATTGCTTTAAATGTTTACCTCATTTTGGAGTGCAACAATTAGTGCATTGTACTGGCGGGGTTCATACGAGAATACATCGATACCTTTTATTGATGAATCCATTTTTAATACACCGTGGCGTTTACCTTTCGTTGTAAAAAATGAGATAGAACAGTCATCACAAGCAATAATAATCTAAAAAAAAAAAATTTAAAATCAGTGAATTTTAAATCGGTGAATTTTATCAATATCAGCAATAAAATAAATGATCTTTACCTGCTTTCCTATTTGCACCATTCCAATAATATCCGATCTCACCGTAAATAAAGGCTTTTCTAACTCGGTTATACCTCGTTTTATCGAAAATACTTCTGCATTACGACAACTTACCAATATTCGATAATCGACGTCAAAAATCCCTTCAAAAAAACGTTGGTTCTTGAATTCTCATCGGAAGAAAAATCGGTTATCGTCTGATATGATATGAGAGGAAAGAATAGATATTTATCTACAATCTAAGGTGTGTTAGAAATAAATTTCGATTTCGATTAGTAATAAATAATCATTGTTAAAAGTGGCCGATTTCCTTTCATTTTCCTTTAAAAAATTCCAAAAATTCCACTATTTTCGATATTAAGGCTATTGAGAAATGGTTGGGTAGGAACGGCGCAAGGCAATAACTTATGGGGCAAAAGTTGGCTGAGAGAATTTTTAATATTTTATAATTTAACTAGCATAAGAATTATAATTATTAGTAATCTAATAATTCATATAATTGTCGAATTAAAAAGCAATAATTATCTTGGGCTTGAGCTACCTAAGTTAAAGATTGTGGTAATTGCTACCAAAAAATATTTACTCGCTGTAGGCATTTATTCTTCTTCTAATAGCTTATACTCACTGTGGGTTTCGCTTTCTCATATCTTCCATCCTCACTGTTCGCACTTCGCAGATTTAAGGAAGAATTGCAAGTAAACAGATTGTCAGACAGACAGATGCAAGCTTTCGAGACTAATTTCAAAACGATTTCATAGAGATTTTGCCATAAGGAAGAAGGCATTTCCAACAATATTCGAATTTCATCTTTCGCTTGACCAGTGCGTATAAGAGTGAATTCTCGGAAGTGACAAGTCAGTGAAAAATTTATATTTATAAATTAACTGAAACTGATATTTCACCTGCGTATATAAAATGAAAAAAAGTTTTTATCTATATTGATGTGAAGGCCAATTTTTGCTACTTATCAGTTTCCAAGTCTGTTGTAATTCCGTTATTAAAAAGGAAAACATTATCAACATATTCATAGTATATAAATGATAATATACTTTCGACTGAATTATATACCTCTTGATAAGGTGTTTTATCTAAAAAGGAAAAATCTTGGAAAATGTATGCCATTCATATATTAAAGGATTGTGTCAGTTCAGCATACTTGGCAGATGCTGACAAAGTACTTTATGTCTGATTGTATTTCTGGTCTACCATGCTCTACGATTTATTAGAGAGATATCTTATTGATAGAATCGAAAATAACGGCGAAGTCATGATGGTAAGTTGCCAATTTGAAGCGATGCTTTTCTTAATAAAGATTTGGTCCTGAATCGGGTAGATTAGGGAATATTTTGTTATGAAACTAGAGCATGATTCAGCAGAACTGAGGCAAAAATGTTCTTAGATACATCCAACAAGCTGAGAATTCTTCTATGGTTATCACAGTGTCATCTTCTGTCATCTTTCTTTGGGAATTGAGTGAGTGAAAGATTGCTCATGTTTCTTATCGTATGGTGAATCTTCCAATAGCCACCAGGATTTTTGAAATTATGATCACTTCAAGATAAGATAAAAGGATAAACTAAAGAATAAATTTATCCCACTTTTTTAATTTTTATCATAATTTATTTATTTTACTTTTATCGACTTTATTTGCATTCTTCGTACACAAATTTATAAATTTAAATCTTTTTTAAATTTTATAAATCATTTATTTATTCTCTGTTTTCAAATTTAAAAAGAATTTAGCATATTTTTGAAATATTCCAGAAATGATTCTAAAATATTTCAGAAAATGACAAAAAAGGCGGAACACAGAAGCAAACGCTCAATATTAAATAATCCCAACAATAATCCCAAATATTGGCATATGGAACAATGACAAGAAACATCGTCCAATTTGGCAGCAAAAATCTTCAAATTTTTTCCTATTTCCCTCATTTATATTGGTTGCACTGCTTATAATTTTGGACTGTTAACTCTATCGTAATAAAAATAATGCCGAACTTAGTCGGTAAATTCTAGCAGTCAGTGGAGTTAGCCAAGCTGGAAATAATGCTAGCTATTCTTCTCTTTCTAACCACATTACTTATTATACTGACTCCATTAGTTGCAAGAATGGTCCTTACTGATAGAGGAAGAATGAATAGGTTATTACTTTCGTATAAAAGTTTATAATAAACTTTATTGAAGAGGAAAAAGAACTTGCCGGTTGCATAAAGAAATGAAGGTACCCCACTGACACTGCACTTGGCAATTACGACAAACGCCTGAGAATCGACGCAATAGATAAGACCAAATTCAGTTCCTATTACAAGGCAGTCGATGGATGTTGCATTTGCTGAAGATTTCTTGAGTGTTGTCATAGAAGTGACGACTGGTCGAGAAATTAATTTCTTATCTTCAAATTGTGTTACAAAAGAACTCCATTCTGTTTTTCGAGAGCACAGAAAAGTTTGTGATAATGGAGTTAATTTATTCGCACTTAACTGAAACGATTTATGCAATCATGTAGACTGTGTTTTTTCATAAGAAAATTTTGTTGTATAAGATCCTATGCATAGAAATTTCCTAAAAATTCGCCTTAAGGAATTTTTTTCGCAAAACGGTGACTCCAGTTCTATTGGATTTTATCAAGGATCCATGGTTTTATAGCTATGCTAATTATATTTCCGCATTTCATTATTATTCAGGTAAGGCAGAGAGGTTTTCAGAGTTTCTCGCCCAATAACCCTTATCGGAAGGGTAGAAAGGATTGGTTGCGATTCGAACCATTGTTATCACCATTGCCATTCTACATTAATTGCACGCCTTTATCACTTATACATTATCAAATTTCTCAATTTTACTGCACAATTTCTGTTTTTCTGCTTTCATTTTTGGCTGATATTATTACTTATTATATTAATTTTGCTCAACGACCAAGCGACATTTTGTACTATTTGGTTAAAATTTATTTAGAATGGATTGATTGAGAAAAAATAACTTTTTCGCTGAGTTTTGATAAAACAGCATATAACTGCGATGAATCGATTTGGCCGCTTTTAGCTAATCGCCACGCTTCTAATTCCATCTCATCGATCTCAACAGGGGGAATATTGAATTTATAAAAAGGCTTTAAATTTTTATAAATTAAAACTGAGGCACTCGACGAGACGGCAATCGATGGCGAATTTGGTTGTATCTAAAGTTAAAAAAACAATAAAAACATATCAATTGATATCAATTCTCTGCTTAGCAATTTATTTTTTCGAAAAGCTTTTGGCGACATCTGTTTTTATCTGTTTCTTGGCCATTGCTATCGACATCTTTCTCTCCTAATAGCAAATTTCTGGTTTGGCTAACTTTGGTGACTCCTAAAGGGCAGTTTTTGGTCGACGATTCATCCTTGGAGAGTTCGGTATTCAAATGACTCCACAAATCACCAAAATAATAGCAGAAAAAATAGCACAAAAAGAAATTGTAGAAATATTTTAAAAAATGCAAGGGAATGAAATTGGGGCCAAAATATTTGCAAAAAAACATGAATTATATGCTAAAGCAGTGTTATATTAAATATTAAATATATTAAACATATAAAAATTGGCTAAAAAGTAGAAACAACCAACCAATTCATTAATAAGTGGTACTACAGCCGATGGAACATCAGTAAGGGCGCTTTCACCTATCAGAGTTATGCCTTTGAATAGCTTCAATTTCATGTTATATCGGCCCGTTCCAATATCACCGATTATTAATTTGTAATCACCATCACCGTATAAATCACTTAAACTGACGCACGCTGCAAATGTATTAATGCCCAATGCACCATCATTTAAAGATGATATCCATTTATCACTCATTACAAACTGATATAATAATAAGTATTATAATAAACAAAATATTTCCTTATTGCAGAAAATATAAATAGTCAATAATTATTGTCACCATAGAAACAAAACCGTCCTGAAATAAGCATTTTTAAATGCATTAAATTTAGATTTAAAAGATATTTTTTGATATTGTTAACATCACTTATGGCTTTTTCTAAATGCGCTCATAACTTTTGGTGAAACTCACTCTTTGCTTTGTCAGATTAGACGCATTTATTCCCCTGCAGGGACCAACATTGGTGCTATAAAATGAGAACAACAGCCGGCTAATTTATTCCTTTTTGTCATTTATAAAGATGTTTTAATACAATCACATTACAAATAAATTTATGTAAATAAATTTGTCACAATGATAAATTTAGCTTAAATGGACTCCTTTGGCTTACTTTTGTTTCTCTAATTGTTGATAGCAGCTAAAATTGGCTTTCAAATCAAATCAATGAAAATAAGATCAACCTTTTCTTTTAAGTCAGAAGATGATAAGATTTGGATGATAAGATCGCATCCTATATTTTTTATACTTAAAATTTCCCGGATCCACCCTCATAGCTAATAGCCAAGCGAAAGGTGAAATTCTAGCTCAGATAGCTAGAGGTGCTTTCTTTCGTCCGGTAAGCCCATCAATGAGATGATCGCGAATGGTTCGCTTATAGGGATGTCAAAAACCACATCTACCTGACCCGTTCGGGGCTCCAAAATGTACGTAACATCCCATTTATTAAACCATTCATGTCTAAGTGAATTTCATGATGAATAAATTCTTTCCGATTTTTAATTCCTTTTTTCTCGTTTTTTTCGATAAATAAAAAATTTTTTCTCACTTAAAATTCACATCCTTTGTTATCATATTTCATTCATATCAGCTAAAAATATTTTGGCGATGTAAGAAAAAAGAATGAACATTGAATTTTTATAGGAATCCAGTTCAGATCATTTTAATCGATTCAAAAACTGGTTTCGCCCTAAATACCCATTGAAATATAGCAAAAATTAAAATTAAAATATCTTTTAAACTTTTCTTTTTGTTTCTTGTTTTTTTTGGCAAAAAATTACTTCCGATCTATTATCACAGAGAAAAACAAACATTTTTCGCGGAATACAAAATAATTTGATATATTTTTATGTTGCAACCCCAGTGAGTATATGTCATCTCCCCCTTCATATAATTTTTAGCCTGGATTCTTTCATTTACCTATACAAGTTGCATAGTTGCAAATGAATAAAAGAAATACATTGTGGAGTAAGAAGAGATGGACAAACGAGAACGGAGACGTGAAAATCTCGCATTTCCTAAACTTATTGAACCTTTAGCCACGAAATTTTCAAAATCTCAACGCCAACCTCAACAATGTCAAACGCTTGCATCTTAGAACTCTCTTCCGTCAAACAGTGCACACCATTTTCAGCTCAGCTGGTTCCACTTCTGATCAAAGTTAAAATCAAACTAAAATAATTATCAAATGCTGGATGGTATTACATAGTATGAATTTTGCAAAAAAAATTTATTGGTTCATGTGATTACAAAAAAATGAATAAGATTTATTCCATGAAAACTTTATAAAAAATTATTTCAAATAAGCAAAAAGATTTTAGAATAAGCAAAGGTACAAAATGCTTTCGATAAAACGGATATTAGGAAATTGCAAAGAAATTTTAGATTATAACTTGCAAAAGTTTAAATTTCATTCTATTGAACATCGAATAAGACAACCAAACATTATAAGAAATTAAAATTTACGGCTTTACAATTAGTAAATTATTAAAATCAGATAAAAGAGAGATAGATATTTGATGGTAATAAGTTTTAAAAACAATAGTACCACCTTTCCTACTCAATTTACTAAATTTGCAAACCGCAATAATTACGGAAGATAGCTTTTTATCTATAATAAGATAAAATGTGATAAGACAAAAAATATAAAAAAAGATGTCAACTTAATAGCAAAAGAAAATGTTTATCTAAAAAAAGAGACAAATATAAAAATGAAATACTAATCAAGAACAATGAATTTATATCAATATGCTGGAAATAGAACTATTAGCCTTGTAAAAATCAGGTGGATGGAGGTAAATTTTGAAAAGAATTCAAAATAATGGCGCAATTAACCCAAAAATTGCAGAGTGGATAAAATGCAGAAAGATTCGAATATAAGATATAAAAGATTTACACCTAATATTTAATTAATGGATTAATTACTTGAACGCAAATAATTAGGCAATGAGATACTCAAAAGAAAGATTAGCAGTTACATCCACCAGATGGCTGGGATGTATTTCGGCCATCAAGACGAATTTGATCAGGAAATTCTGGGAAATCTTGAATATCAGAATTTTCGCGCTGTAAAGCATCTCGAGCGATTTCAACGAATGCCAGTTCGACATTTACAGCTTCTTTCGCTGATACCTTAAATAACCTATGATTATCGATTTTCAATTAATGAATTGACCAAAAATTAGGTATCAAAAAAATCAAGGCAATATTAGCTCTTTCAAAAAGGAATCAAAAACGGAAATTTTCAAAATAAAAACGATAGCCCTCATTGAAACTAACAAATAACCTCATAATATTTAATATTTTTCATATCACACCAAGCCTTCGCTCTTTTCGTTGTTACTGCACGAGATGCTTCTAGGTCGACCTTGTTGCCCAATAATACAAAAGGAAAATGCTCTGGATCGCGTGGGCTGAAAATTTATGGAAAACTCTTAGTTAAGTACTCGACAAACAATCTCATAACTTTATCAATATCATAAAATTTTTTGTCCGGCTATTTATACCTCTAATAAAATAATACTATTATATATATTTAAAACATTACTTTAAGCCATCTTAAAGGGTGGAAAAATCCCATAAAATCCCACGAAATGTTGGGTAAACTGCTTTCTTCTTACCAAAATGAAAACTACTAATAAAAGAAAAAATTATAAATTGAAAAAATGATTAACGGATATAAAAAATGAAGAGACTTCAAAGTATGATAATCGAAAAATAAGAATAAAAATATAACCACCTAGCTTGAATAAGAAATTCGTCACGCCATGAGTCCAGACTCTTGAATGAAGCACCATTGGTAATATCATAAGTTAGAACGCAACAATCTGCGCCTCGATAAAAAGCAACACCAAGAGATTGGAATCGTTCTTGACCAGCGGTATCCCATATCTAAAAATCTCTTGCAGTTTCTATAAAATTAAGAAATTTTAAAAAGGTAAAATAATTCGTTAAATTCGCAAATAATCCGCAGATCGTTAACTTATTCATTTACTAAAAAGTCTTGTTTAAAAACTGACTTGATTCTTTTGTTTTGTAAAATGTTTAAATGAAGCATACTTGCATAGTGACCATTCGATCACCGATCATCACATCCTTGGTCAAAAAATCAGCACCAATTGTCGCCTTATATTGATTACTAAATCGTTTGTTCACATACTGGTTCATAAGCGAAGTTTTACCTACACCAGAGTCACCCAAAATAATGACCTTGAGTAAAGCTTTTTTTCGACCCCTATTCGTTACCGTTGCCATATTCTTACACCCTGAGAATCCTGGAAATCAAAATAAATCAAAATAAAACAAGAGATTTAAGGAAATATGAGCAAAACAACGATATGATACACTGTTTCGACGAAGATTTAGACTTGAATGACTTTAAGAATATTTTGTATTTATTTCCTTTTTTCTCCTATCACTTTCCACCTTTCCACATTGCTGCTTAGACTGGCTCCACTGGTTATAAAGGTAGAGACGTCTTCAACCTGTTCGATACGACGCCATTGCCGATAACAGCAGAAACCATTCCTTTTCCAACCGCCTAAATCCATATATTGCTGATCCATTTAGATTCAAAATCTTTCTTGATAACTGTATTAGTTCAGATCTTGACACCGCTTTTGAAGCCATATAACATAAGGTTTAGCAAGTGATGAAATATGTATTAATACTGTGGGGACGACGAGGAATGTACTCCAATCATGATGGTAATGTTAATGGTATATGGAAACTGGATGCAAACATGTGAGATTTTGTCGGCTCGGTGAATCCACAAAATGAATGCCAAAAACTTTTTATAATACCCATAAACTGTCGTAAAGAAACTCCTTCGTTAAATATCGCCTCTACCTCTAAAACTCTGTTACAATTGAACCTACCGATGATCTTAAAGCTCCTTCTATCAACTCTCTTCCACTCCCATACTTTTTCCTATATGCCATTTTACACTACCATTATGCTGTCTTAATACCACCTCAAATACGTACGACTTTTATAACATAAAAGTAGGCACAAATTATAAAGAATAGCATAGTGATGAAGGGGAGAATTTGAGGGAAAATTAAAAACTAACAGTATAAAAGGATAGGGCGGGAGAAGGGGAGTTTCTGAGAGGATGATGAAGTGCAGCAATCTGAAACAATGGAAAAGACAGACATAACAAGTTTTCGGTGAATAGGAAGAGAAATGCACGGTCTACGACGCCTAACAAATCTTTTCCACTAGTGATTTATAAAATAAACATAAATAAAAAAATTTTCTACAACACCGAACAGCACACATGCATAACTGATAACTGATTATGTTGGCCCAACTGGCTATGGAAGTAAGACATTTCCAAGCGCTTCTATCCGCAGACAGCCTTGAAACTAAGCCACTTTCCCACGGTTAAAGCTGAGTTGCCTCTATGTTGAAAATTTCTCCCGACCATATCCATTTATAATATGACTAATAATCCATTCTTTCACGAAGCGATTTTACTGGTAAGCAACATTCTTTAAAGCCTTCGAAAAATCTATTCGCTACTGCTCGACTTATAAACTGAATTAGCAACAGGCCAAATGAAATTGAATTGAGCAAATAAAAAGAATAAATTTATAGAAGTAATAAAAAAACTTGTTGAACACCGACATTTGCCTTTATTAAGTATGTTTACCTTATTTCTCCTTTATATTTAACCTGCTATACGGAATAGAACCTCTTCTACTACAGTCATTAACATTCCTCCAAAATTCATTGCACCTCCCTAAGATCCTCTTGAATACTACTATGCTCCTTTCACATCCACCAAATTCACAATCTTGTATAAAGCGAACCCCTCTATATACTTCCTTATTTCTAATCCCATTTTCCTTTGTGGTTTAAAAAACATGCTATCTCCACCACGACAAAAATGCACAAAAGCTATATTATTCATTACCAGTCATCGCATTATGCAAACAAAAGCACAGGAAAGGATTGATAACATGAATTTCATTCTAGTTCATCTAATTTCTAATTTTAATTTCACCTAATTTAAAATTAAATAAATGACTGGTTTTTTACAACTGAAACTAAGGGCTGCCTAAATGGAGAAGTATTAAGACCACTGCTGTTTAGACTATCAATTCATGCACCGTAATTAGGCGATCATTAGGTGATCTTGCTCTCTGGAAAGAGGAATCGTCTCTCTCTCTGAGAATTGAATTCAAGCGGTGATGATGCAAAGCACTTCCTCTATCTTTCTTTGATTCTCTGGCGAAACACGCTAATAATTAATGCTGAAGTCACTGAAACAAGAAATGATATGTGCTAAATAATGAATATATTTAAATGCACTAAAACAAATAAACAAAAAGACAATAAAATTTGCCAATTTCTAAAAGGAATGAAACAATTTTCTTTTGAAATTTCTCTCAGAAAATTGTGGAAAATTTTAAAAAAAAAACTATTCAAAAATTTGTACAAAATTTCAGTAACTGAAGAAGATAAGATTACTGCGCTACTTCGTTCAATTAGCCAGCGAAATCAACTAAGCAAAAAGTGGTACTCATAAGAGCAAAAATATAAGCCGATGCCTAAGATGCCGATTTTCCGATAACTTGGCTAATAAAAATTGGGAAAGATTTATAAGTGAAAAGAATAAGAAAAAGCTGAATCTTATAAAGACCTTAAGAGACTTTAAAGAAATGCACATAATTCTGTAGCTTTTGATGCCTTTACTGGCTATTGTACGAAAATGTATCTACAGGAGGCTTACAAACCGCACACCATATCTCAAATTAAATGAAGCCTTATTTCCACACAGCCTTTCAGCTGAATCAAATAATCCCTCCAAAATCTCGTATCAGTTCAGCTTTCGATAGTTAATTCCTTTTGACCTGCTTTTTAAAACTGGAATTATCACTGTTATCACTAATCACCCCGTCGTTTAAAGAACATTCGAGAAATATAAATTAATACGAATATATATGAAAAATGAACCCCTAAATGAACCCTTCAAAAATGGATATCACCAATATTTCACCAAATCAATCTCACAAAATCAACGTAAAACCATTATCAGCTGATTTAGTCCAATTAAATTCGCAGATCGGCTGGCAAAATAAACTCTAACATATATCAATTGATAAACAAACAGCTGGGTCTGATGATTAGTAACGAATATGAACAATCGTTCTTAAAGAATTGAAAACTTTTGCAGCTCAAATTTTTTTCGTTCCGTTTTAGCAACGCATTTTTAGGAGAGTTCCACTAGGATTTCATTCCATCGCCTTTTTTACAATCATCAATCATTTTTTTAAACAGAAAAATCAGGAAAAATCACCGTCTCAATTAATATTCACCAAAATCCCGGCAATCTTCTTTCAACCCGTATGGAGTAAAACATTGGTGAAGTGGTGTATTTTTCGACTACGGTCGGGCACCATGGTTTGGTTTTGGTTCCTTCAAGAGAATGAAAATATTTTAAAAACACTTCTTGCATTTTAGCCATTTGATAAAATCTAAAATATTTAAACTCCGACACCTCGATGATGATAAGGCGACGCTCTGCGATGGTGCTGTTAATGCAAGTGGTATTCGAATGAAGGCGATCATGTGAGATATGTAAAAAGTTCCAGGTTCCACTAATTTTTTAAATATGTAATCCGTCAAAATCGCTCAATCGCTAAACACTCTGCCCGTACTTCTCAAAGGCGCACTGCTTAAATAGCCGAATAACGAGTTGGGAAGATAAGGGGGGCAAGTGGGTCGTATGTTGCTTTGACTGAGAGCAATCAACACAGATAGGCTCGTTTATCGTCGTTCGATGAGAACAAACCTGTTTCGTGGATTCATCCCAACCGTAAATAATGTGTACTTATAAGATGGATAAGAATAATTTATCAGATCAAAAGCAAAAAATCGAGTAACATTCTATGATATTTATTCAGTATTTTTTTCAGTAACATTCAGGTGGTTTCGGTTTCCATTTATTACACAGCGTTTCGAGTAGATTATTTTCAGCGCTTTGCGAATATTTGTCGTCCAAAAGAACCCACGGGACATAATGCAGTAATGGACGAAGCGACCTCGTCACGTTGCCAGCCTCAGCCAAAAGACGTCTTCCTTTTTCAGTTGCGCCGCATTCCATTATTCTGCAGTTTTTTTTATTACATATGCTATTTTACTACTAAAATTCATTCACGAAAATATGAAACCTACTCGTGAACGGGGATTTGTTGATGGCGCAATAAACATTCTTTAATGCCGACATCTCGATTTTGCTTTCCTTCCAGGCAAAAAATAACTGGTAGATGGTCTCGTGGATCTTTGAGTATATCAATTGCACAGTTCATCAATTCATTCAAAAAACATTCCTGTTCTCCATGTTGACAATCACAACTGAAAAAATAAAAATAAAATAAAAGGTTTTGTATTCGTAATTATAAGAGCTAATCGACGGTACTTTTGACGTTCGTCCATTTCAAATTTGGTAAATAATCGTAAGTTTAGAGCGTCATAAATTGAAAACTTCAAATTAAAACTTAGATTTTTGAATGATTTACACAGCTGAAAAATCATCCGAGAGCGAAAAGAAAATCACCTGAAATCATCGCCAACACTTTCGCAATCAGCATTTCCAAAAGGTATAATTTTGACCTCGAGTCTCCTAGATTTGTTGAATTTAGACCATACAGGTACTAACTGATTATTTACGAATTTCGTGCAATCAGGACATTGTGATTCAATAAAAGCCGATAAGTGCACAACATTATCATCGTTCTGAAAGATAATTTTAACTCAAAAAAAAAGTTTAATTCTTGTTGCATTATGATATGGTCAAAAGAAATTTTACAAGCATGGGAAATCCAGTGGTATACGGGCCTGGATGGTAGAAGAAGGAGTGATTCCCAGGAACAGCAGATTTGGAAACATCCTAGTTCGCAGTGGAATGGGCCAAACCAACAATGGTACGAGCTAGAAAATTATGCTGCGATTTTCGCTGGAAGATAATTTTTAATTGTCATCAGAGCTAAATGAACGTTAAGTTCAGATTATTTATAGTGCTTGGTTTGCACTTTCATTTGACTTCCCGATGTTCCGAAAAAATTTGCTTGATTTGCATTTTCATTTGACTTCTCGATGTTCCCAAAAGATTATGTACTTTGCATATTTACCCATACTGTATGGCAAATACATTTATTTTCTCTTCCTTACCATGATTTCTACGGCATTTCCTTCCTAATCTTTTTCTTCACAACTAATAAAAAAGACAAAAAATAATATTGGTTGCCTGCTAAACGATTCTATGTGGACTCTTAAACCGTCTTTTATGTGAAGGCAGCAGTGAACGAATCGCCGCACATTTAGAATAAATTGCAATTAAACTATTTTCTTGCCATTAAAAAAATAAATAATAAATTATGATGCATAAAAACAATGATTTAATTAAGACCGAGAAATTTGATAATTTTAATCAATTAATAAAAATCAAAAAATAAAAATAATAAAAATGCAAATATTGCTGGGATTTATCATTCGTGCCTCAGGTAAATCGCATTGTTTGGTAGGCATAAACGCTCATACCAAAGCTAATTAATTGAAAGATGAGGTCAATTCCTTTTTGGAAATCGATTATAACTGACCTCTGCCTAAAAAAATATTCTCTGGGATAAAATTAATTAAATTAATGGATAATTTTCTTGATGGGTCGAGGTCACTAATTTAAAATAATATACTTGGAGCAAATATCGCTTTTCGCGACAACTAATATATTTAACATTTTGATATCTGACATCTGACATTTGACATTTGACATTTGACATTTGACATTTGACATTGTTATAAATAAAACTGCAATAATGCTTCGCGAAGAATTTTCAATATTTTTTTCAATTTTAATAATTTTTAATTTCAGGAGAAAAAACAAAAGAATCATAGCAGGATATTGGATTATACTGTTTGCTAAAAGAGTAGTCGAGAAGCATTAAGAAGTGTTAACAATTAAACCTTAAAGTGGCTAATCAGGAATAATAATAGAAGGTGGATTGTAGTTTTAAAAGAGTACAGAGAAGATTAAGGAATTTGCCTGGATTTTAGGAAAGTTAAAATATAATAAAGTTTAAGGACTGAGGGAGTTAACAGCTTGAAACCCTTTTCAGAAAGCCGTCTTCAAAGACAATCCATTAGACTAGAAAATTTTCATGTGTATATTCTACCATCCAAATTTTTCAACAAAAATCCATCGTTTAAAAATTTATGAATAATAAAAATCTACTTTTCTCATTTAAGATCAATATAATTATTTTAGGTATTACTTTCATAGAATTATTTTCATTTTCATTTTACAAAATATTTTTTAATTTAGAAGTTTTTGAAAAGCATTTTGCGCACTCTTTTTGTTCGAAATTCTTGCAATATTTTTTCATAAAATTCGGTTCATTTAAATTCAAATATTTCCATTAATGCAAATATCATCGAATTAAGCCATTTTACCCCAAAATGCGCAATGCTTCAAAAAATAAACGAACCTTGCCACTGGTTTGAAGGAATACAGTAGAAAAAATGATAATAAATATTGCTGCGGTCATATTTCTAATTTTTCCAGATGTTAGAATTGTCAGATAATTAATTATTTGATTTAAACTACTTTTAAATCTTAGAGAAGAACAATGCTGTCAGAAAAAAGCTGTCAAGTATAACTGATAAGATAAGGAAAGTCAAAAAAGGCTTTTATCTATAATGAAATAAGTAAATGGATGAAAGTAAATATGAAAGAAAAAAATTCCTTGATTCACTCACTCATTGATTTTAAACTAACTTAAGTTTCCGCTATCTTCACTGGAAGACCATTTCTGTTAATTCTACCATATTACGAGATTTGATACCCATCTCACTACATGCTTACGATGTCTTACGATGGATGGCATGAGGAATGCATGGGCCCAATCACGATCTGGAAAGATTTGGCCAGAAGAAATGCTGGCCCCCTGATGCTTACGAGAAATGCCATTTTTTAAATAGGGCGTCAGTATTAGAGGCTAGAAGCGCTTTATTATCGTTGTAGTGCGAGCTGTTCAAAGTTAGAATTTTCATGCATTATTCTTTCGTGATCCTTGCATAGAATATCGGTCACATTGGAAGACCTTACAAAACATTTAAGTCGACGAATATCACCAAGAAACCGACATTATTGTACGAAAATAATGTTTACAACTAGCAGATTTTCGATTCGGCCTTTAATTCATTGTTTCATATTTGTATTTTTTTTATCAGTAGGAATGACGAATCAGCTGAATTTATTCAGCCATAACATCGCAAAAATTTCTCATGATAACGAAATATTTGCTCATAAATTCATGAATAATAGGGCCATAAAAGTGGAAAATTTTATCGAACAATCGATGATTTATTTGTTGGAAACTTATAAGGGTAACTTCTCTTTCGAGAAATCTACCAAAAACCTTTGCCCTGCTAAATATTACAATGAAACTCTCAGAATTTATTACATAATTTTAGAGATATGAGAGGGCCTTTCTCGCAGTCTCCACTCCATCTGCATGCCATCAAAAACTTGTTTAGTTCCTCAAAAAAATACGATATTAGAAACTTCTCATTCTCATTGGGACAACACAAAACGCAAATAATTATCACTAAGGCCTAATTTCAAATAAAATAAGGCCTTCGGGCCTTTTTAAAACATAAATTCCCTTTACTCCAACAATTTCAATAATTTAAAATAATTTTTAATAAAGTGCCAATCTTTGTCGAATGCTGACGGTTTTCCCTATTCATAAATCCATTTAAATAAAAGAAATAAATAATTATACTTGAATTTCACCAATCGAATACTTTTTATCACTTAATTTTGAAGTTGAAACATTATGAAATAAGAATTTAATTATTTGATATTTTACATTTATTTTAAAGCGAAACTTATCGTCTTAAATAAATATAAATATAAAAAATATAAATATATATATATATATAAATAAATATAATAAATATAATATAAATATAAATAAAAATATAAATATAAAATATAAATAGAATGATAGGAGAACAATGAAGATATCTCTTCAATTATTCTGCAAAATAAAAAGAATCGCACAAAATTTAAAGCAAATAAGGCATATTCAATGCATTTTAGAAAAACCACCATTTGATAAATATAAAATAAGAGCATTACAAAAATAAAATAAAATAATGACAAACACTGCCAAGCAAATTTTATATTTACAATTTTCGCAATAAGTAAATAAAAGATAAGTGAAATATTCAATGATTTATAGTTGAGCAAAGAAATAATCGAAAAATTAAGACCGAGAAATGTTGAAATTTTAGGAAGTATGAATTTTCTAATACTTTACGGGCATAAATATCGGATTTTGGAAAGCAAATTAGGAAAAATTCGAGAAAAAAATGATAAAAGGAAGTGATAAATAAAAGAACCTGTATAATATAAAAAAATAGTGCGAGTAATGAAAGAAAAAACAAATTCTATATGGCATTGCACTGCCTTGGCGATGGAATGAGTTTGGCACATAATACTTCTTTTAAGTTGTACAGTGCATCAACCGACCTTACGCCATCCACGAGTATCCAAGGAACAAACGACAGTTTTGGATTTAATGAAGCAGTTTTGTCACCGGCTTGTGCTAGTAAACGTCTTCCTTGAATAGTTGATCCACAATTAATTAATCTGCAATCAATTGATTTAATTTATACTTAAAAAATTCAATTTAGATTGTTCAAAATATTAAAATTTAGGTAAATTTAGGCTAAATTTGAATCAAACAAATGAGCCAAAATTATTGAAGCCTATATGTAAAACTAAACTAAGGACTCATGACTTCTTTATTCGTACTATTAATTACTGAAATAAACTATCAAACGGTGCAGTGCATCATCTTTAGCTATTTTTAAAAAAATAATTAGGCAATATTATAAATGATATTATTTAAAAAGTTCACACCATGCAGCAAATTTGAAATCTCGATTTTTACAACTCGATTATGTATAAGCAATATAGTAACTTTGAATTGTACTATTTCCCTAATTTGTTAATTTTTGTATATTTTCTTTGATATCTTTAATTCCCATTATTTGTTATTTTATCTATTGTTATCAATAAAAGCACATGGCACTTGCCGCTCTGCTTGATTGGTTTTCAGTAAATAAATTAATTTGCGAAACATTTGTGAATGAAAGATTCAACGAATGAATCCGAGCACATTTCATAGAAAGGACTACCTTTGAATGGGTAGTTCACGAGAAGGCAATAAGCAATCCCTCACACCTTCTTCTTGAGACATTTTCCCTTGCAAGCAAAACAGAATTGGAAAATATCTTTCTGGAACATATAACTCATCGATTACGCAGTTCATTAATTGGTTTAAAAGACATTCTTCTGGCCCATGCTGACATACACATCTAAAAAAATTTTTTCCCATTCTTCTTCTTCTTATTCTGATTAATTCCAAATCCAAAATAGAAATAAAATACTTGAAATCGTCGACAACAGGTACGCATCTAGCCTTACCAAATGGAATAATTTCAAAATCAATTCGTTCAGACTGAATGAATTCTAGCCAAAATGGTTTTAACTGGCTTAATAAAAAATGAGTTGAATCGCCACATTGTGCTTCCAGATAAACTGATAATCTCACTTTATTATCAGCTTCCTAGAAATATTGAAAATGACTTTTTGCCACTGATTTACCACTGATTGTTCTTATCAATTAACTTATCAACAATAAAATTTGATAGCAATAAAAAATGCACTGAAAAAATTGGATAAATTATAAAAATTTAAAAAAAAACCACCATTTGAAAAAGGAGATTTGTTATCATTTTTAATGCTTATATCATATCATATCAGCTGCAACTATTTCGCTGATTATTAATATGAAAAATCAAAATATTTATTTGGTTATACTGGCATTTAATGTTAATAAATAAATAAAAATAAATTTGAGAAAAAAACCTTTTCAGAGCCGATTTGCATAGATATTTGCATAAAATAGCGAACGATAAAATAAATAGCGATGCAAACTAAAAATAAGGTAAAATAGCGACGAAATAAGTGAAAAGATGAGAAGCGCCTCACATTCCGCTGAATGATCATTTTTGCGTTGAAATGCGATATCACTGAAATGAAAATTTTAAAATATTTTATAAAATTATAGTGGATAGCTGCGATTTCTTATTTCCACTTCGCATATTCTCATTAACGCTAAATTTGCTATAATTAAAAGATAGATAAAAGACGCAACCAACAACCAACGTTTGGACTTTTTTTTCACAAGGATGAATTTGCTACCATAAAGGAGACAAACAATAAGCGAATCCACCAAATTCACCAAACATTTTTGGTGCGGAATAATTTAACTATTCTGAGTTGCTGGACACTGCACAATAAACTATACCGTTTTTATGGCTTAAAAACTGACTTTATTAAGAGAACACCGATATTTTTTCTTCATTTGTTGTTGACGAATAAAAACCGCTGTCCAAAGAAGCGAAAAGTTGAATAAGCAGCGATCGAAAACGAAAATAAGAAAATAAATATTAATTTTAAAAATAATTAAAACAAACGATATAAGCAAAAAAGAGATTTAAAAATTGAAATAAAACAAATAAATTAAGAAAAATTAAAGCAAGTAAAAAACTGAACTGAGCAAAATTAAATAGGAAAATTAAATATTCACAAATTTTTCTTCATCAAACAGCTCTCACCATTACTGGTTAGGCTGGCTCCGCTGGCTGCGTCTTCAAACTGTTCGATCTGATGCCATCTCTGGAAGTAACAGAAGCCATCCCTTTCCTTTCCATTCCTTTTTCCATCGTCTAATATTGCTAGTTCACATATATGTTCAACATTTTTCGTGACTTTGGCAGTCCAGGTCTTGATTGGCCCTCCTCTCTTTTGAAGCCATCCATCGCAGATTTAGCAAGTAACGAAATTTGTATCAACTCCTGTGGTAGATGGCAAAGAACGCGCCATAACCACTGGGAGGATGGGTGATATTTGAGAGAAAGTGAATGCGACCATGTAAAATTTTATCCACTCGGCGAACCGGTAAAATGTATCTTAAACAGGAGTGATCAAAGGTAGATAACTTCTTAATATCCCTCATCGGCCATGTAATAAGATCGAGCGAATTGAAGATGCGAACTAAACAGATGCGAAAACTCTCATTTTTATAAAGATTTCGGGACGATTCCATAAAGCTTCCACCAACCGGAAATTCTTCAAGCTATCTGGGTTGTAATTTCGCCTTCCGCTTGGTCGTTTGGGATTAGAGTGGATCCAAGATTTAAGGCCTGGTAATGCATCAACCGGTGATGAATCGATGAAAATAGGTATTTTATCAGTATATTTTATATTTATATATTTTATATTTATATATGTATATTTATATAAAACGAAAAGACTTTCGTTATTTATATTGGTTAGGCCGACTTTCGCTACACTTGTCGACACACTATTTAGATTAGCATTATTTGCGTTTCGTAATAATTATCAACAAAAAGGACTACACCATTAGTGTTCAAGATCTGCAATACTATATATATATATATATATTATGCTCTGGTTCGATTTGTTCATTTTTTAAATACCGATGAACGATGCCCATCATCCAGTCTATCCAATTGTTGAATATTACAGGGGAAAAAGTTAGCCTTAATGGACACCAGCAAAGGGTCTGTCAGTTCCCCATATTCTTAATCTTAATAAATCTTAATAACCTTATCTAAAACACCGTCCACCACCATCCAAAAACCTGCTCTATCAATTGAATCGAAGACAACAGTAAAGTCGATGAAACACGTAATGATGGATTGCCGATATTTGAAGGGATGAACCAAAATTCTTCGCAATATTTTATCAATACAATCGTGTCACTGCATAAAAGAAGCGAAAATTTTCTCAGAGATATCTTGTAGGCTGATTCCTCATTAATTGTCCTGACACCTTTCCTAAAAGTTGGAAGCAGAATTGCTTTGCTCGAGTCATCTGCTATTATTTTTTTCTTCCATACCACCGAGTATATTTGTTGAAGATTTGTTATGAAGGATGATGAACAACATTTAAAAATTTCAGCCTAAAGACCATTGGGAATTTCGTTTGCTTTAAGTTTTTCCGAATGGCACAGATTATTTCGTGTTCTGTTATACTGGCAATTCGCAGTTACAAAAATAATGCTCGACGAGCGATTCGGTATGCCCGAGGCAATAGATGGTGCGTCTTGGTTAAGTTTATTTTGAGAATTCCTTTTTATTTTTTATATTCATAAAGATAAAAATAAGATAAAAATGGCAATAAACAATAAAAATAAACTTGAAAAAAAAACCTTTTAATATTGTTAAATTATCGCTATAAATGCATATTTTGCTAATAATCCAATAAAATTTATTTATCTATTAGTTTATTTATTCAATTAAAAGAAAACAAATTTTCAATTAAAGAAAACAAATTTTTTCACGAAAAAGAAGAAAAAAAAATCTAAAAAGGCAATATAAACAAATAAAATTAAAAAAGTATAAAATCAAGTTATGAAATTTTTTAAACAGTAAATTAACATAAAAATAGTAAATTTATCTTAAAAAATACAACAGATTAAAAAATAAGAAAATACAAAATACTAAAAAAATAAAAAAACTTGAAAAAAATTCGGAAAATGGATAATTTTTTTTTGAATTTTCCAAAGAAAATAATTTGTAAAATAATCAGATGGATGGAATTTTTTAATTTATATTTTTTTTTAAATAAAAGATTAAAGATATTAAAATTCAACAAAATCGAGCTAATAATTCATTTTTTGGCAAAATGACTTCGTTCTTAAAAAGCTCCCATAGAGACCACTTTTCTTTCAGCCATAATCTGCTGCCAATTAGCTTGTCCAAGTTTCTATCAATCAGATTAATTCAGTCTTCTAACGGACCTTATAAAATTAGCCACAAAGGCGTCTCCAAGCTGCTCGATCCGATGCAATATTTGAGATTGACAAAAGCACTTTTTTCTATCGCCCAAGGCCATATCAGTTAAATACATCTCCAAGAAAATTCTCACATTTTCTTCTAAGAGCCACTTCTGGTTAATCTCTCTGATCACTTGTCGGATTTGTCTACAAACTGAATGGCAAAATGCTACGATGGGCTCGTAAAAGTGGAAAGGGTACCAGTAATTTGCCTCATCAACAATTATTCTTAAAGACCAATGAAGGATAATTAACGAAGAGACGGAAGTTTTCCGCAGCTCAGAGAAGAAAGCTGGAGATCTAATGAATCTAATAATGCAGAAAAGAAAAACCTTCTAATATTGATGGTTGAATGAAAGAAACAAAGAGCATCTGAAGGAGCCCAAACAGAGTGGAACCGACCTCTTTACCTCCATCCACAGGACCAGTCGAATTTTGCTGCCGGGCCACTTGACGATGCGAGTGCAGGTGAATTGCAATCACCCAGGTTTTCGAAAGACCGCCGAGATTTACTGCTAAAACCCGGAATCCAAGCGATTTTTTCGAAAAGACAGCAATGACTCACCAAGCCAATCCACTCCTAGGCTTTTATTAAAAGTACGAAAGAAAAAATAATAATGAACTGGATGTGGAGAATAAACTATCCGCAGCCGTAAAATTAAAAAGCGCAGAGCAGCATAAAATTCTCAATGAATACAATACAAAGCTGCAAAGTAGGAAAGGGCAGGAGGCTTTGTCAATTTTTTGTAGAGTTAGTCATTAAATGTTTAAATTAAACGATTTTAATTGGTGATTATTAAATAGTTTTCACGTTTATAAATAATAATAAAATTAAATTTCAATAATATTTTAAGTATAAATATTTTTATATATTTATGAATTTTATTTAATTTTATTTTATATAAATAAAATTATTTATTTATTTTTATTTATTTATATTTACATATTTATAAACTAACATTTTGTAAATATTTATTTTTAAATTTAATATTTATTTAAAATATTTTAATAAAAATATTTTCTTTACTATGCAGATTTGAAACAAAGAAAATAGGGATTATTTTTGATTCGCTTCGTCGGCTTATCGGACAAACTTCGCTATGGGAGTGATAGGAATGCAACCAGGCCACCACCGGCATCACCTGAATTCTCGAAAGAGAGGTCCACTTCTGCGGGGAGGGGTCCGAGCATCGGCGCCCCGAAATGCCAACAAAAATGCAGTATTTCTTCTGTACTGGCTGTGGAAAATGAATAATCCGCAATCTACTTCTTTAGTTGTTTAACAATCAATATAGAGCACTTGCTGACACCTTTGCTCTATTAAAGTTGTTCTTATGGCTCTTTTGGCTTGCTTAGGTCAAGTAGTTTGGTTTCGCCTTTATTGTTGTAAGGTTGTTCTTATGGTTCTTATGGTTTGAATTATATTATTTAATTTTTTTTATAGTTTATGCTTATTTGCAGATTTATTATTCTTATTAATAAGCATTTCATTTTAATTTTCAGCTTATCACCTTATCATTGTTAGTGAAGCATTCATTATGGTGGTAATTAGCAGTTATTTGAAATTTTGGTATTTATTTATTTGTTAAAATTGCCATTTGCTTTTAGTAACGATAAATAGAAAATTATTATTTGTTCATTACTCACCATTATGCTTTTATTATTTTATATTATTTCAATAGATGGATAAATTTTTCTTTCCATGGTACTTCTGAATTTTACATTTGTATTTCTGACCACTGTAATTTTTTAATCTTAGTTTATTGCACTGATATTTTGCACAGTCGCAGATTTAATCGCATCACAAAAATTCCCAAATCTCGATCCCTCTTTTGATTTTTCTTTTGGTATTTGATTTACGATGGTCGCTTTTTTGGTATTGAAATATTTTAATTTTTAAACTTTTTCAAAATGAATCGGATTTCAGATTTTTTATGTTTTTTATCGGGTAAAATTTTTTGGAAATGAGTTCACCTTCAGACGATGGTCAGTGCACTGATAGTGAGAAAGAAGAAGGACTTATCGAAAATGGTTATATTTTTTCTGTTATATTTGCTAATTTCATTTAGCACGATTAGTGTTCTTCATATCTTCAATAAATAATATTTTTTTTTAAGATGGGTCATCTTCATCAAATTTATCGTCGAGCGAATACGTCGTATATCGTGGTGTATCAAGTGAAGGAGACGATCACAATTTGAGGAAAAATGAAGTAAATCGAATGAAAAGCAGCGCCGATGTATCTCCTATTTCTAGTGACCAAGGTATGAATGAATTTTTTTCGGCTTATTGTATTGTTTCTCGAAATTATTTTTGTTAAAAATTGTATCCAGTTTAATTTTTTGATTTTTCTTTGTTATTTAAAATACATTAGAAGATGAAGAAGTTCGACTACGACGAAAACTTCTCGAAAAACGTGGAGCAGTTAGCGATTCAGCAAAGGAAATAAATGTTTCACAGTCTGTTGATTTATCACATGATATAAATGCAGCAGTGCCGGAATCAACCGGTAAAAAGATAACTGAAAAGGCAGAAGCTGTGGTCAGTGATGATGAAGAAATGTTTTCTATACAACCGGAAGATGTTTGTTATATTTTATTTTTGACGTATGTTTTGATAGTCTCTTCTTCCAGCCATGCACCCCTTTGATCTGGCAGGATACCTCGATAAGATACAGGAAAGTGCCACTTAGATTTTCGTTAACGAGTTTAGTTCCTTGGGGATCGAATCCATATTACTTACGTCAGCCGAAATGTTTACCATTTTTTCAAATTATGTCTTAAGGTTTATTGCTATAAAGATTACTGCTAGATAGTAAATTCAATCTCTTAAGCATATCATAAAATTTGCCATTTTTTAGAATTATAAACATCGGCAACGTGATATTAGGCAACACGAAAGCAAGTTATATATGCGTAGTCACAATGAAAAGAAAAAACGAAGTAATCGGGAAAAAGAAGAACGTCATCGACATAGAGAAAAGGAAAAAAAAATTGAAAGATTTATCCATGGCAAGTCTAAGAATAAGGATAAGGAAAAATATAAACGAATCGTTGAAGTAAGGAAATAAAAAATCTAAAAAAATTTATTTTGCTTAGTAATATTAAGTCATTTGGTTATTACTTTTAATTATTTTATTCTTTCAATCGATTTTTGAACGTATTTCCTGTTGATATAATTTGAACAATCTAAAAAAATCTGAAAAAAGCCAATTTAGGAAAAGGCGAAGTATATATCGGGGAAGCAACAGTCTTCTCATTTGGAGCAGTCTCGAGCCTCGCGTGTTCAGTTATTGGAAACTAAATATAGATCTGTTGAAGAATCATCATGGGATCGTGAAAAGGATGCCAATCATAGGATCAGTGAGAAAACTGAAACAAAAATTAGATCGGCAGATAAAACACCGAGTTTGAAAAATTTGTTTCGGTAACTAATCTATTTTAATACATAATATTTTTTCTAGTTGCTATGATTAGAAGTTCATTAAATAATTTACATTAAATAATTTATATTAACATTTTAGTCATTTTAGCAGCTCTCCACGCAAACGCGAGCATTCGTTGACACGAAAATCCATCTCACATCTAAAAAATGAAAGTCCATTCAAAAAACCACGACTTGCTTCTCATAAGGAATCAACTTCAGGTTATTTATTAAATTGAGATATGTGGAGTATTTTTTTTTTGTGGCTGTTATTAAAATAATAAGGGAGTTTTCGAATTGTTGTCAACAGAAACTTTCTAGCATCCGTCAAGTTTAGTCGTAAAATGCGGTATTAACATTTTTGTAATATAATTTTTCTTGACAAAATATTTTCCTTGTGACATCATTAAGCATAGTCATTATTTAACAGATGCAACTCTCGATTCTATTAAAAACGATGTGAATAGTTTGGGCAATGTTGGATCCAGCAACGACAAAATGGAGATACCTGATGATCCAGAAAGTGATGGAGAGGCCAAAGATTCCTTGAGTGATGATGGTTCGGCGTTTTTTCCTTTGTTGAATTTTTTATATGTTACAAATAATTTCAAAGGAACTAGCATTAATAGACATTTCAAAATAAGGGTGAAATTTGTTCGATTTTTAATAAAATATGCAATTTAATATGAATATATTAATGAGATCAAGCCTTTATAGATAGAGATTTTCGGCCATCAAAATATTCCAAATTTGATAGTAGCTCAGAAGAAGGGAGTAAACATGGCTCGCCAGATATTGGTCATAAACTGGATTTCGATGAATCGAGTGACTCAGGTTTGTATTAGAATTCTTTTCTTCATTGTTTTGTTTTCTTGGAAATAAATATCTTTAGTTATTATTTTTTTATTTATTTCACGAAATAAAAACCATTTATTCCGATAAAATTTATTTTTATTTTGCAAATAAGTTTAGTTTTTTTTAATATGTGAGATATTTTTCCGAAATTTTTGATATTGTCTGATGTTGTTATTTTATATTATAGGTTGAAGAATATTATTTGCAGAGGCTGAAAATGATTCATTAACTGAAAATATTGATGACAGCGAAGATTTGTTTCTTACTGAAGAGGAATTAAATGCTTTGCAGCCAGAATTACGTAGCCGGTTTGTTTTTAAAAAGCTTTTTGAATTACAGCTGTGATAAATTATTTCATTCCTTATTGGTTCTATTTTGCCAGACAATTTCTTGGTCATTAATAAAAAATTTTCAGAGTAGAAGAAGCGCAACAAAAAATGTTGGTATCTATGCTGCCGGAATATTTCCCTGGCATTTCTGGTTGTAGAAACGTGGCTGAATTTGAATGCCTTAACCGAATCGAAGAAGGAACTTTCGGTGTTGTTTATCGAGCTAAAGAGAAAAAAACTGGTTAATTTTTTTTATTTCAATTATTTTTTGTTATTATATATGTTTATAATCACTCATTGAGATTTTATTTTTATATTTATTTTTTGTATTCTTATTCGATCTCATTTTTAGATGAAATCGTTGCGCTAAAACGGTTGAAAATGGAGAAAGAAAAGGAAGGATTCCCTATAACATCTCTCAGAGAAATAAATATGCTTATAAAGGCTGGTAATCATCCGAATATCGTCAATGTGAGGGTAAATCGTTTCGGCTTATCACGAATATTATATCTTTATTTGTTTGTACTTTTTTAAAAATATCATTTTCCTTATCTTTTTAAAAAATTTTACCATTTTTATAAGCGTTAAAAGCACATTATCTAAATTTGAATTATTTTATTTTTTGGTAATTTATGCAAAATTTAGGAAATAGTTGTCGGTTCAAATATGGATAAAATATACTTGGTTATGGAATATGTTGAACACGACATGAAAACTCTTATGGATTCAATGCATTCCAGGCAAAAAAGTTTTACCATCGGTTAGTAATTATCTGGATTTTTTAAACCATGGGCATATATTTCTACTCAATTTATGTAATATTTTTTTTCTTACAGGTCAAGTTAAGACATTATTACTGCAGTTATTGCGGGGTGTTGCTCATCTCCATGATGAATGGGTTCTTCACCGAGACCTTAAAACTTCAAATCTTCTTCTTTCCCATCAAGGAATTCTGAAGGTTCTTTTTCTTTATACTGCTTGTTGTGCGATGATTTTTTATTCAACATGCATTATTTCATTTGGCAATGATTTCATAACTTTTAGGTGTTTTTATTTCATGGTTTATTTTTCAAGATTATCCATAAAAGTTTTTAGATTGGTGACTTCGGATTAGCAAGAGAATTTGGTGACCCACTAAAGTGCTATACACCGATAGTAGTAACTTTGTGGTATCGTGCTCCAGAGCTATTACTTGGAATCAAAGTTAGCATTTTAAGATTTTTGATTTGCAATTTTTTACCAATTCTTTTCTTTGGTTGCTCTATTGAAACATATTGTGAGATCATCTCTGCTTTTTCAGGAATATTCAACAGCAGTGGATATGTGGTCATGCGGTTGCATTTTTGCTGAATTTCTTAAACTGAAACCTATATTTCCTGGAAAGGGTGAACTGGATCAGATCCATAAAATATTTTTGGTTAATTTTCTTTTTCAGTAAATAGGTTTCAACTGAATATGGCCTAATCACATGTACAACTTATTATCCAAATTTATAGGATCTTGGTACTCCAAGTGAAAAAATATGGCCCGGATACAGCTCTCTACCTGGAGTTAGTAAAGTGAAATTTGAATATGAATATAATCAACTATGGAAAAAATTTCCTTCAAACGTGGTTGATAAAACAGGATTGGATTTTCTAAATGAGTATTTTTTTATGCATTTGATGATTTATATATTCATTTTTTACTTTTCATTTCTTTTATTTTATTCTGTATTCGTAATAAAATCTTGAAAGCGATGATTTGATTTCGCAAATCAAAGCTTATTTTCAGAATGCTGCGGTATGATCCAAATAAGAGGCTTACGGCACGTGAAGCTTTAAAACATAATTGGTTTGAGCAGGATCCATTGCCAACTCCACCGGAAATGTTTCCAACATGGCCAGCTAAGAGTGAGCTAGGCAAAGCTGCTCCAGTCGCCAATAGTCCGACTAAAGCCGCAGTTGTAGCAAAAGATGTAAGCTTTATTTATTGTTATGCGCGTAATGTACAATCATTAGTAATATCGTTAGGTAACATATTTCAGTAATTATATGAATGAAAAACTTGCGAAATCTAAAGGTCGGTTTCAAGTTATTATTTATATATAATGAGTTTGGGACAATGACGATAAAAAGAAAAATGGCAATACCTACGTTCTGCCAAAGAGCAAGATAGGTGATCAAGAACCAGTCCTGTTGATAGAACAAGGCCCACACCATGATTGCCAGTTATTACCTGTCAGAGATCATAGAAATTGGCAATGTAAAGATTCGGGAATTTGCGGAAATTTCCATCGCAGAAATTTAATACTCGGAGATAATAAATTAATAAATTAGAAGGTTGGAAGATAAGTCTTGTGAGTTAAAGCCATTGTCCTGAATGGAATCTAAAGCATCCATAAATATCACCTGTAACTTGGCATACAAAAATAAACTGAGAAAATGTTTAAAGCAACAGTGGACATGGGAAGAACAAAGAAGCCCAAGTAGAATTATAGTATAGTATAAGTGTTATAGTAATTGCTGGTATTTGGAAATCTTTCCAGTGGCTGTCAAAAAACTTATCTGAAACATTACTGTGGTACTGAGCATCAGATTTATCATAGCAGAGGTTTGCTTCACTAGACAGTACCTAAGGTACAAGTTATAAAAAAAGGCTATTATCTTACATACAGTGGGATAATGCAAGGTGCAGGTTATATAATCAGCATACAGTGACTACTAAGCATCAGTTTGAACTGAAACTGGTCTCTTCTAAGATCAGGATTATGAAGATTTACCGAAAAGATTTTACCGAAGATTATGAAGATATGAAAGATAAAATTTATAAGATTTTGTGGGATTTTCCATCTTAGGCGAATAGGCAGATATTGGCCAGTGGTAATGTAAACAAAATCACAAGATAGCCGTGTACGTGACAGATTAACGAAGCATTTCATAGCAACATCATGTTTAAGAGATATGAAATGCTAAAGAAGGACCTGAAGGAGGAACTAGGAAGGAAGATGATCAAAATGGTCGCTTTAGTGGTAGAAGTACTTCAGGTTAAGCTGGAAAAGACTGCAACAGATCTCACGAACGAATCGGCGATTTTTATCAGATACCAGATAAGTGCAGTGCTAGAAATTGCAAAGCGCATTGCGCAAACCCTCAAACTCCTAATAAAGGCTTCTGGTGGACTTGAGGGAAGAGATTCCAAAGCGATTTAATTAAGCATGTACAATCATTGAGCATTCTACGTTTAATTAGAATTTTTTCGCTTAACTGTTTAACTAGAATTAAATTAGAGGTTAATTACAAACTCTTAGTTGAAATAAATGTTAATCTGCCTCATTTAATTAACAATTTAGAGAGCTATGAAAAGCTTCGTTGAAGATTGTCCAATTTTTTGCAATTTTTTTTAAGTTCTTTCGCCCGCTAAATACTGTCATTAGATTCGCTACATTTGAGAATTTTTTCCATTAGAAGAATTTTTTCCATTAGAATTCAGTGAAAACATTGGTTTTATTGATTAAAGCCATTATGTTAAGTCAAAAGATTTGGTAAATTTCCAGTCATCGACCATTTTCAAATTTCTGGTATATCAGCAGGTTTTCCACTCGTTCTTAAAAATAAAATTTTTGATTTGCTTTTCATTGTTCATCCCTCGTCTTACCTCAGTTTTATTTTGCATCTTCTTTCTTTATAAGCAATTGTTTTCTTTATAGAATTGAAATTGCACCTAATCAATGTATTTTTAGAATCATAATGATAAAATCTATCGAGATTTGAGAGTTAATTTGCATAAGAAGGAAATCGTCACGGGATTTGCTTTAAAATTTGACGCGCCGAAATTCAACAAATGAAACCGTATCAATTTACCATCAGCAGCTATTCGATTTAGCCGAAGATGGACATTAAGAAAATGCTGTAAATATTTTATTAAAAAATTTTGATTTTTTGTTTAAATTATAAATTATACAGTTTACTTAAAAATGTGCTGTTTTTGTTGAACACTAAATAAATCAGACCATTTAACAACTTGAATTTACATCGTTTATTTTCGTTTGCATTATTCAATTGGAAATTACTTAAAATTTACCTTAGACGCTCTGTTTGTAACCTGCAGTAGTGCAATAATGGGTTCATGTTGAACATTATGTGGTTTTATTGTATTAAAATCAAAATCGCCTGTGGATAATCTCTTGACAGCTCGCACTATTATTGCAATTGGATGTCTGAGGTGACTACGAAGTAATTTTCATACTTCCGATCATATTTGAACGGTATCTGAACATATAGAAATCGTTTTAACAACCACATATGTGTGTAACGCCTGAGGATTTCTCTTGGTGGCTTAAGTCCTAATTTTGAACGCTTTAATTTTTTTGGCATTCATCATAGGGTAGCAAATAAATTTGTAAAATAGATATATAACTTGTGGTTGATTTGTAAATAAGAGGAGTTTTTCCTGCAAATTTGCCTTGTTCAAAATGATTGGTTTGCATACCTCTTGACTGACTACAAGTGATATCTATAGTTCAATCTGTTTTATATCGAATATTATTGGGAAAAAAACGGAGTCTGACGTCAAGCATCAATTCCTATTTCGAAAGGATATGGCAATTGGTCTTGCACATCATCTGCCCTAAAGTGCTCTTTTAAAAATACTTATAAGCAAGATGGTTTCCTTTAGGCACCGAAATCATAACCCGGATAACGACAGCTAGAAAAATGTTTTTCCGGTCGACGAAAACGTCGTTAAATCACCATAAAAGAAAACCCGCGTCCATGTAGGTGCAGTCCGCTCGATCTTACTGTATGGCTGTGAAATATGTCCAAACGTGCAATTATCTTAAACTCCCTTGGCTCCTTTCGTTCTTCTTTCCAATCTTTCTTTATGCTTCGATAATATTCTTTCAAACTCCTTCATATTCTTTTTAATTTATTCTAATAAAGAGAAAGATGAGCCATAAGTTGTGGAACAGTGGTTTATTTCCTCAGCAGTGCATTTCATGTCTCTGTTCTCTTTCTTTTTTTTAACTTGCTACATGGTTTTACGACATGCTTGATTCTTGTTCAATAACTGGTTCAACGAAGGATTAGATTAGGTCATTCGTTAAAGAAATTGCTTCTTTATTTCTGGTTTTATTATTATTCGTATATTTGATATTGACGCTTAATAGCCCATTTATTTTCTTCCATGTTTCTTATCAGTTAGTACAATATATTTTCAATGTATTTTGTGTTAAAATAAGATGAAACATTTGAATATTCAAGTGATAAGATGTAATACAACATAAATTTATCAATTTACATGAATAAAATCACAGCTAATTGCTCGCCATAATAGCTGAAAGAATCCATTTAATGTGATAATTGAATGAACTTATCGTCGATTTAAAAGTCACGTTTATACAATAAAAATAATTAAAATAGTTGTCGATTTGCTAGAATTTTACTGGGTTTTTTAAAATATTACCCTAATCAATTGGACTTTATTCGTTTTTATTTATTATATTAAACTTTCTTTTTGTTAAAAAAAACGAAATAAAAACAAATGGAAACAAAATTTTTTGCATAAATTTCTACAACTATTAATTTTTCGAATCATTATTTTCGCCTATTTCATGTTATTTTAAAAGATTTATTTGATCGTAGTTTGGAATGAAGAAACAGTATAAAAATTTATAAACGAAATCGAGAAATAAAATGAATAGAACGTTGGTACTTTCCTGAATTCAGCAGAACGTCCAATTCCAACTTTTACTATACAATTTTTTATTCGCAAATTTAAAAACAAATATTCTACCACTTTATAAACAACCTTTGATTATAATAGTCGGTAGATATACTCTTTGATTATCATATTATTACATTTATATAAATATTCGGAGCCAAGACAAATTTTATTGAGTTCAATGTTAGATTATGGCCAATGGTTAGTTACATTGCTGCATTCTTCAGTTCATTTTGTACGCTTATTGGTAGCGCTAAAAGTATGATTCTAGTAAGTAACTAAAAAATTGTAAAGAAAAATATCTTAATCCTTAATTAATTTTGCAAACTGGGAAATATTTAAGCAGTGGCTGGAAGAAATTTTGAATGCTTATGCGATCCAGTGATATAGAGAATGGATGATTTCAGATCTAGCAAGAGATCTTGAAGGTTAGGAGTAAGTCATCCTAAGGAGTAATCAATGGAACCAGCTGGATGATTTCAGATGTGGCACAAGATCTTGAAGGCTAGAAGTGCGCCGTTCTAATTATAGCTGAGAACAAATTATAGTTATAGGCATTTTCGAGAATTATAATTGGATAATTTACTACCTTTGAATGTTGCTTCAATTTTTGCTTGTTTTTGTTCGCCGGTGAGGCGTGGATCTTCCGCAATTTTAGTAAGTTGAGCATCAGCTGCTCTGGCATCAGCTGAGAATTTCGCTAGCATCGTTCTACGTGCTTGTTCGGCTTGCTGTTGAGCAGTTCGTATTTGCGCCATAAATGTTCTATAGGCATTCTGAAATAAAACACTGATTAGGAATTTTTTCAATGATATAGAATTTTAGAAAATTAATAATGATAATAGTAGTAATAAAATGGTTTAATATAATATTGCTCTCATTTCGGAGCACCATACTGAGGTTCCACCTCGAAAGTAGTAAAATAAATCCTTCGAAAATCCGGATGCTGACCATCCACCTGTATTTCCCGTGAGATGCTCTGGCAAAATTTGTTTGATCCCACAAATCAATGCAGCGAGCGCAGTCAGAAATAATAAGCGCACTTCAGAAAAAAAATGAATGTCAAGTGTTAACAGACTGGTTTAAATTATCAATTTTGATCCGCAATAACGATTAAAATCGGAATTGAGAAATTTTGGAGAACGCGTAAAAAAGACTGAATCATATGATAAACTAACTGTAACTTTATATTTTTAAGAAAAAAATGGGATAAAGGCTTGCAAAAGTTAGCGTCCAGAATAAAAAATTTGTGGAATGGAACATTTCTGTGATAAATTACATGTCGTAGTATAGGCGTTCATATTAGGAATGAGGCTTTTCTGTCGCTTGGATACAGTAGTTGAAGTTGGTTGGCGAAAAGATCTTCATTTTATTGCCGATTTTTATACTTAAAACGCTTTCACTACATTTTGCTACCCCTAGTAGTTTTGCGACCATATTATTTTCCCATCCCATTCTATTTATGCCTTAATATTCAGAAGCGAGGACTTATAAGCTGCCAAGGAGATGGTTTATAGCACAAAGGAAATTTAGGACTATAAAAACTTCTATTATTTGAGAAAATTTTTACATAAAATAACGAAATGCACTCAAGCAAATCGAAGACAAAATGCAGAATTACCTGTATCGCGCTGGTTTGTTTAGCGATCCATGCATTAATATTCGCATCTAACTGCTGATCAGTTTGACTTTGACCATTCTGAAGAATAGTTTCGAATTCTTTTATAGTAGATTGTGGAGCTCCTTTTAGGAATGGTGGTATATCATCATCAAATTGGCAAAGGACTAAAACAACGATAGTGGCAAATATAATGAGGAATTTCATGCTAGCTGAATTAAGAGAAAAGATTTTCTGGGCAAATAAGAGAGAAATACCTGTGACTTTGTCACCGATAAGCAAAACTTTTTAAGTACATTAGAAAATAATTGTTATTTATACATAATATTTGCAAATATTTTAGCGAAAAGGTGTGGCTATTCGGCAATCAAACAGGTTTTTCATTTTATATTTTTAATTTTGTTGATTACATTTAAAACAATTCAATTTAGAACTATAAATTTAAAAATTTTTTTTTCCAAAAAATTTTTCAAGTAATTTGGCGAATTTAGTTTAAAATTTACTCAATTGATGCATTATAAAATCGTTGAGCATTGATCAAACGATTCATGAATTAAATAAAAAAATTTCGAAAATATTTTATTCAACGAAAACAATCAAAATTGGAGTTACAAATTTGAAGTTAAAAATTTGCAATATTTATGCGCCATATTTTAATGAAAACGAAATTTAATCAAACGTTGGTTTAAATAAATTTTACAAAAACAATAGGAAAAGATGCGGTTGAATTTGCCATGTTCTGGAAATTTTTTTGGAATATTTAATAATTTTCTTGTTTTCGATATCAACCATTCGTCTAATGGAAAAATATTTCGCTCGAGAGAAAATGCTGATAGACGAAACATCAAACTGGTTGTTATTTCAGACTTCTTCGCCAAATAACAGTTTCCTTAATATAATTTTTGAGAGGCGCTTTAATGGACCATCAAATTAAGTTATTCACAAATCCTCATAGTAGCTCATTCGGCAAAGTTAAAGGAATTCTTTGAAAAGACGAAAAAATTACTTTTTTCTGCAGATATATGAGGGATTGCAATAATGACATTATCTCGTATATTTTTGAATATCCAGGATATTTTTGTTGTTAATGTACAAATTTGCACGCCATTATAAAATTATAAAACTTACGGCTGCTCAGTGCTATCAAAGTAAAATTTGGCTAAATAATAATGCTCCCTTTAAAATACTTTATATTGTTATCAATATTCGCATAAATTTCTTGTTTAGTCACTTTTTTTATTATTTTCAAAGTCATCTAAAAAATCAAAAGTCACCTAAAAAATCCTATGGGAATTATATAATTATATTGCACCAAAAATCCATGATTTTCATTAATCATTTATGTATCGCTTTTCAGTGTTACCGCACGTACAGTAATTTGAAAATAGGTCGATCTACTTTCGAGCGCAACTTTTTGAGACCAAATATTTCATTTGTCATATCATTTTAAAATAGGACCGAAATAATTTTTCATTATTTTTTTAGATTAAAAAATTGTACGCGGTTGATTTTTTAAAGAAAGAATATTTATTTCTCTAAATTTTTAAAGTCATCTTCTATCCTGTAATGCAAGTTCTATAGCAGAATCGCAAAAGTCGAATAAATGGGTCGAAATCGACTTGCATTTACGATCGGGTCAACGGATATACGTATTCGGGGCGGCTAAATTGAACTTATAATCATCATAAGATTATCAAACTAATCATTATCAAATGCCTTACCAAACATTTTTAAGTTGTTTTTTACTAATCGGATTTTTTCTAATGGCCGATTTTTCTTAAAAAAAACTATTTGAAAATTATCACTTTACAAATTTCGATGAGGAAAAATAAAAAATCGAAAATTTATGAATCATATTAAAACTGGATTGATTAAAATAGAATATTGTAAAACGAAAATTATTATTAAGGAAAAACAAAAATATTTTTGGCATAAAAATTTATAAAATCATTAAAAAATGATTGATGAACGAAATACGAATAGAAAACAATAATAATAACGTTGATCGGTTGTTTCATTTTATTCCATTTTAGGAGAATAAAACATACTTTTAGAATTATATTTTTACATTTTTTTTATAGTGATTTGATTAAAAATACCAAATTTGCGAGATTTGATTAGCTTTTATTGCATTTGATCTGATTTTACTCTCTTTCTCAGATGGCTTTTCTTATCTGCACTGATAACTGTTATTGCGTTAAGTGATTGGATAGTCACGAAGTAGAGGCGCTCGGCTAGTGCGATTCCGCTAGGCTCAGCCGGCATAGTTCAGATAAAATGCGATTCAAATATTCCCAAATTGACTGAACTGATTTTTTTTTCCTTGTTTTTCCAAACATTTCGCAATAATTTGAATCATTCAAAGCCGTTCCATGTAGTTAGGTTTAAATTATAGTCTGATTTTCTTCTATAATCGCCAAACGATTTGGCCTTTATTTATTGCTCTTCTATCGTTTTTCAAGTCAACGTTGTTGGTTTATCGGCGAATCAATCAACTTAAAACGGCAAATTCGGCAAATTTTCAATTTTGTCAACCTTGTAAATTGAATTTTTCATAGGTTTTCCATTTTCAATTTTGAATTAATATTTTTTTTCAAAATTTATTCAATAGTAATAATATTTCTTGCAAAAATTTTAACTCGAATAGTCGATCATTTATTCAAATTTTTTTTTCTTCTTCCTTACAAAACGACAAGATTAAACGTAAATTTGCTCTTTTTTCTGTAGATAATATTACTTTGCATATGAAAATTTTCTTAGTATTAAACGTTCTTCTTCTTCTAACAGCTCTCACCATTACTGTGTAGGCTGGCTCCAAACGGCTACAAGGGTAAGACGCTTCCAAATGGCGCGCTCTGATGCCACCGTCGACACTAATAGAAGCCATTCCTTTTTCCATCGTCTAAGTCCATATATTGCTGGTCCACCTACACGTTCAAAATCTTTCCTAACCGTATCAGTTCAGTTCTTGATTGGCCCACCTCGCCATCCATCACATGGTTTAGCAAGTAATGAAATATGCGACAACTCTTGTGGTTGAACGACGGAGAACGTGCCCTAACCATCGAAAGCGATGTATTAGGCGCTAGCCGTTCGGAAATAAAAATGCCCTCATCTACAAGCAACTTAAGAATATGAACCATTTTAGGAATTAAATGGTTTAATTTAAAATGTGGATGGAACCATTCAAACCATGAAAATTTTGGCTCGAAATTTTTAAAAATTAAATATATTTTTTACAAAAATATATTTAATTTGCTTCGTTTCTCGATAAATGAATATGGTTTTCACTTTTTGATTGGGCTCTCTTCACTGATTTCAGAGGTTCGCCAGAAGTTCAGAGGAAGGTGAAATCTTCACCATAAGTCGTATTCGGTTTTTCGCGACAAGGTTTATATCGATTTAAATAAGCCAATAAGTCAGCTGATAATGTATGAAATGTTAATCTAAGCATACGCCATACCTCTTTCTTATAATTAAAATTACTAGTGATTTGGAATTTGTTTTTAAATAATATAGAAAAAGATATAATAATAAAACCAGTAATAAATAATAATAATTATTTATTATTAGTTTGTTGTAGAACGTTATTTATAATTATAATCATATTTTGTAAATTCTTTTTATTAATTGTTACTGGTTTTTGTGTTTCATTTTTTCTTGTTGTTTTTTGTATTGTTTAATATTTTTTGTAATTTTGCAATTTATATTAGCTGGGAATATTTAATGGGAATATTTAATAACAGAAAAATAAATATTGCTTGATTTATGAAGAGGAAATTTGTGCAATATATATCATAGTTATATATTAATATTTATTATTTATTTTATTTTGTTTTATTTTATTTTTTTATGTTTTATTTATCACAGTTATATATATCGTTGTTATAGGTTAATATTTATTATTTTATTTTTGTTTCATTTTATTTTTTATTTATACGTTTATTATTTCATTTATTTATCTTCGTTTTTTTATTTGAAATTTTTTTATATTTGTTGTTAAACTTCTTTTATATTTTTTTTAAATTTAGTTTACCCTATATTTTATTGCATTTCTTTTTATTTATTTATTTATTTTATTTCTTTTTATTTTATTTTTTATATTTCGTTTGCACATTTGTTATCTGACTTTTCTTTGTATTTTTATTTTTTTATATTATATTTTTTATTGTATTATACTATCATATTTTTTTATTTTTCCTTTACCTCTTTTTGAAAATTGTTTTTTTCATTTTTTCTATCTTTAAGAGGGATTTTCTTCGACAATAATAATTTATACAACGTTATTGGTTAGAAATAAATCGAATATTAGAAATAAAAATTTTAGAAAATGTTTTTTCATAATATTTCCATCCATTTTTAGATGGGAATATTTAATCGCATTTTTTTTTAGATGGGAATATTTAATAGCAGAAAAATAAATATTGGTTGATTTATGAAGAGAAATATATGCAATATATATCATAGTTATATATTTTATATACTTTTAGTGATTAAAAATTAACTATTAAAAATTAATAAAAATTATTAAACATTTTCACCATGAGAAATAGATTGATTTTGAAAAAATATTAATGCAGTTGGTTAGATAAAATTTCGAATTTCAAGCGCAATGTGTTGAATTTAGTTTTTTTCCAATTTTTTTATTTTTAAAGAAATTAAAACTAAAATTTCTCATCGCATTTGGATTTATTTATTCAGTTTTTTTTGGGTTAAAAAACAATATTCGCCATCCAAAGTGTAATTTAAAAAATTCTAAAAATAGTAAAAATTAAAATATTTTTGTGCAAATAATCAGTTTTAAGAATTTTTTTCTTTGAACTTTTATGAAGAAGAAACTTGGAATTTGAATTTTAAATGAATTTTAAATTTTCATTTTAAAAATTATATTAATTTCTTGTTTATTATTGAAAAATAAATAAATCGATATGTTTAAAATATAATAATAAAGATGATGATAAAATGATGATAAATAATGATAATGATAAAAAATTTAAGAACTTACGAATGAATTTGAAACTGTTTTTATTTTATTATATTTTGTGATAGTGGTGAAAATTAGGATTAAATTAGGATTACGCTAAAGAAATACCAATATTTTTTTAGCTAAGATAATGTTATATTTTCTCAATAAATAGTTTCTATGCAATAAATTTAGAAAGATATTTAAATAAACCATCATGCAAGAAAGATAAATTTTCCTGTAAAATTTAATGATATTTGCCATTTCTGTTTTGGTTATATAAAATTTCATTCTTTCATTGCTTATTAAATTAAGCCGTTTAGCCTGAACCTGTAATGTCAAATAGCTTGAAAGCTGCAGCTAATTTTGAGAAAGCAAGTTTTAACGAACGAGTTGTGCGTTATGTGATAGTGAAGATTTCAATTTCTTTTATTCAATCTGCAAAAATAAAATTGGAATTTTTGAATATAAAAGAAACAAACTAAAAATATGAATTTTTTCATACATCACAGCTCATCAGCAATGATTAAATATATCGAAAAAATTATAATTTCCCACAAGATTTGTAGATTATCGAAAATTAAAGAGGATTCAGCAAGCGACTATCGAAATTGGAAAATTTGAGTAAATTTATGGTTTTGATCCTCGACTAACGAGAAATTCAGTAATTTAATTCGTTAACGATCATTGACTTCTCGATTGATGAAAATATAATTCGACATTTTACAATTCGATTCATTTATGATTTTTTTTCAGCGATTAGCAAATTGCTTAATGGCTTTTGACATTGGTAGCCATTTGATTTTCGCGTAAAATTCTATCCTTTTTCTTAAATTATAACTTTTTATGGTTAGCAAAATTTATTAATTGATGTTTTTTCGCAAAAATCAAAAAATTAAACTAACTTTAAAAACATTTTTGAAATATTCCTCCTAAAACAGTTATTCATATGCAAATGAGGTTTTTTTATGATAAATCATAATTTTTTCGAATTATCGCCAAATTTTCATAATTATTTTCGTAAACCATGAAAAAACGGCATGATTTTATTCAATAAACGAAAAATATGTTTTTCGCCATGTTTTCTAAAATATTGTTAAATATAGGTCGGGTGAATAATTAAATTTGCCGCAACTAGCGAAATTATACCTTACAACGCTAAAAAGGCAAACATCATAAGCTTCGACTGTTCCGTTAAAATCATTTAAAAAAAGTTTTAGAACAATATTAATGAATTTTATAAGTGTTTAACATTGTTGAGAAAATATATTAAAAAATAATTATATAAATCTAATTTTTTTTCAGAAAAACTAATTAAATAATATTTATTACAAGTGTTTGAATTCGACTTATATATTCCGAGTCCTATTATTTTTAATCATTTTTTATTAAAATGTTCCTATTTCTGATTATTTAATTCTTCGACTGTTTTTTTATACATATGAAATAATGCAATTTGCAACGATTCTATGCCAATAAATGCTACAACTTATATAAACCATATGGAAATTCGCACGAATCTATCATAATATGAGACTAGGGCTAATCTATCATAACGTATGCCTAAGCCTAAGCTTAAGCCTAGAAAATGAAATTAGTTGGAACAGTACTGCTTTGCTACGAATTTCAGACCGAGCCTTTTGTATTTTGTATATTCAATACGAATTCTTCTTTCCTTAGTTTGAATTTCAGTTCTTAGACACGATTTCCCTAATGTAGTATATTTTACAACTTTATTAAATATTATAAATTGGATAAAAACGATATATGGCCAATTTTTGAATTTTTATTACCCAGTTCGGAGTTCGCATTCGCTATATTCGCATTATTTTTCAAGACGACAACCATGGCCATGGACTTGTTGGCCATAGACTTTTTAATTTGAATAATATTTTTGAGTCGCATGATTTAACTTTTTGAAAAATTGAATTTTTATTAAAAATTTAATTTTATCGATGTCTAAAATTTCTTCATAACATTATGATTTGAATTTCGCTAAAATTAAATTATCTATCGAAATTTTTTTTTTTGCTTTTTATCATTTCTCATTCTGTTATCATTTGAATTTCTAAACTATGTATACTTTGCGTAAATAATTACTGTTATTTCACTAACAAATCATCTAATTGCAGCATTTCATCGGACTGCATCATTTCTATTAACGAGACAGCCAGCTAGATCAGTCAGTCATCGAGATCGAATTTCTGGAAATAGGCGCAATTAAGGACGATTGAAGAATGGGAAAACCAAAAATGGAAATTTGATTTCCGCATAAAATTTGACTTGCATTTATTCTTTGACAATATTTTATTCTTTTTCACTTTATTTAGTACTTATTTTTTCGATATAAACAAAAATTTTGGTTGGCCTTATGGAGTTTTTTTCACGTTTTTTTCCCTAACAATTCAAATTTGAGTTGTTTTAATTTTATTTAGCAATTTGATTGATTTGATAGAGTTCCAAGAAGACGTTTCCAAGCTGCTCGATCTGATGTCATCACTGATTTATTGCGATTTACTTCAAACGAATTTTATGGCTTAATTATTGCATAATGAAGTTCGTGACGCGGTTCTTAGATATTTACTTGCGCCTCAATTAGAAGCCTTAAAAGCTTTAAGTCAAAACTGTACCTAAATTCTAAGCCACTGAACTGCTTCAAAACTATTCGCATAGAATTCCTTGTAGACTATAACACTTCCTATCTTATAGGTTTTGAGATTTGCTCAGTTTTCAGTGTGATGCCATCAATTCTTATTATCGGAACTAGATGAGATTTTCTATTCAAGAGAGTCCGTTGTCAAAAAAGATGAAATGCACTCACTCAATCTATTTCATTAATTAAGAAAAACAGAAAATTCCAATTCCATTTAAAATTTTTGAAAAAAATAACCAAAAACTTTATTAGTATTTTTGTTGTATATTTTGGTTTATCTATTCTTCCAGATATCCTTGCGAGACATTTCGTGAAGCATGAATATTTATGAATATTTTCTGTTTAAGGTAGATATGACTTCGAATTACCAATCCAGCGTTTTTGTTTGATTATTACCAAAACTATATTTCTTCGCTCAAATTATCAATTTTTCTGAAAATTTTGATTTTCAATGCTGCCACGATAATTAGCCATAGAGATTTTTCCAATATGTTGAACAAACCGATTTTTGAATCATAATATAAGGCATGATTAAGGCATGATTAAATACAACTGATTTTTCAAAAATGCAAGTGCATGTAACCATATTACATTCAACTTTACTGGTTCATATGGCTTTAGCTTGAATTTCAAAATTGCGAGATGCAATAAAGCGAATTTATGCAAAGAAATTTGCTTTTTCCCATAATTTCTTCATTAGATTTATTAACTAACGAAGTTGAGTTTCATTTATCAACAAAACCTTAATCCATAGTAATATATTTTGTCAATTATATTTTGCATTTCTATTATTACTTGACAACTCCTTTAGCTCGCTTCACAGGCTTGCTTCACTGAAGTAAATTCAAGCTATTATATAATTTAGCTATATAATTTAAATTATACAACCATCTAATTTTATGAGGGAACCGTTTGCCGATAGAAATCACTCGGATTTTTAAAAGATAAATGATTATCAGAAGTAGAACCTCAGCATTTGAGCTTATTTTTTAGCGAAATGACCAGGAATGAAGGATTTATACATTGGTTATCCAACTGCCAATGAAATTTCAACGATACCCACTCATTTCGCTTATTGATAAAGATATATTTTCTTGACTAGTTAATTAGTTAGGCTAAGTAAAGGAAAAAAAAAAGTAAGCACTTCAGCATGGAGTACCTCTTGTGTTGCATGGAAATAATTACAACTCCTTGAACATTGCCGAATATCCTAAATTATTAAATTTCATTAAATGCGAAGCTATTTGCAAATTTTTTTTTTTTTTTCAGATATTCATCATCACCCATGAAGTCCGAGAAAGCGGTCATTAAAAAATATTGACTTGGACAATCTAACGTTTATCAGGCTCTAATCTGCCAAATTTATATGTATATCTATCAAACTTATATTGAGTTTTCTTATTTATTCTTGCTTTTGCCTTCATAATTCTACAATTTGTCGAACGGATTGACATAAAACAACAAAAAATAAAATACCAATTTAATCGCAGTTAATTAATGGAATTTTCTAAATTGGCTCTTAGAAATTAAATTTCAAATAAAATATGTATAAAAATATCATCTAAAAATTTTAATTTACTATTAAATTTTAGATTTTAGAATTAAATATGCATCGATTCGAAATATTTGAGCGATTTAAAACCATCGATGAAAGATTTTTACAACATTCCGAATTCGTGCGAAAATTGGGAGTACCATCGCTATTCGGATTTGGTGAGCGTTTCTTTTTCACGCATATTTGTAATTAATTCTGTGGGAATAATAGATTGTCGTTTTTTTTCTCAAGTGAAATTTCTGAATTTTCGCAAAAATTGATAATTGACCATTTTTCAGTAATATTTTTTAATGCAAAATATGAAAAAAAAACTTCAAATTTTATTATTTATAAAGTATCATCCATCTTATAAAGACAATGCTTTGGTGGCTCAATGGAAAAGTAATGTGAGAATCGAAGTTTCGGTTCGGAACTGAAGATGCACCATTCTTCGGCACTGTCGCCTAAGAAAAAGAAGCAGAAGGAGAGTAGAATAACTCAGTAGGTGATTGCTCAATTTTGGAGCACTGATGCTGAAATTCTACCCCGGCCAGCAGCAAAATCGGGGTGATCTGCGACGTGTACTATCGCCAAGGGACTCGCTGGTATATTTGTCTAGTCCGTCAAGCCAGCGAAGCGAGTCTAACCAGTAATGATAATTGCTGCTAAAAAAAGAAGATCGCATTCTATTTAAATTCAATGTTTTTTTTTCATAAGTTTCACAGTATTTTGCCTGGCACAAAAAAAAAGAAAAAAAATTTGCCGCTCTACAGAAAAATTTATTTTAGGTAGCGTTTTAAGCATGTCCTTCGGTATTTTTGTTATCATTCCACATGTTGTTACTATCGCTGGACCATTGGCCATGTTATCATTGCTTCTGGCTTTTATTGTCATGATTGTATCAGGTGGAACTTTATAAAACGATTCATAATACTGAAATGAGAAGAAAGCCATGCACTCCTCTCTCCTCACATGCTTAAAATAAATACATACAAAAAATTTACCATTATTTTTGAAATGATTTATGAGACATATACAAACCATTTCTGACCTTACTTGCGATAATATTCATAGATAGGCTGTGGTTTTCTTTTTTGAATTTTTATCTTATTTAGCAAATAATATGATCCCAAACAGATTCTTAATTTGGCTCTCAAATATCATTATAAATTATTTTTATTTAAAAAAGCTCCCAGTGCAGGAAAATTTTTAATTTATAGATGTTACGAATTTACAAATATTAGTAATATTGTAATATTACTAGGATTGTTTTAGATAGAAATTTTCACTTTCCCATTATTATTGGAGAATTAATAAAAGTGGATAAAATTCGTTGTCCTTAATTGTCCAGAGTTAATTGTCCTTGGAAGAAAAAAACTTTTTGAGTTTTTCTCAAAGTTTCATTTTATTACAAATAATAATGGATTAATCCATCAATGAATTATCTTCAGTAATGCATGTTAATGAATTGATGAGTTCAATGCCAAAAACTTGCTTACTTTATAATTTTATTTATGCATGTTTCGGTGAATTACCAGCTTTTTTTACTGCTTGGACTGCCTTATTGGATTTTATTATTATTTTAGTCATTATCGCCAAAAGTTGGAGTGATCATACGGTGAGCACAATTTTTTTGCAGTGCCCTATCTATACCTCTACTAAACCTATGGTAGAATCTATCATAGGTCATCAAAGGCTTGAGATTAGAATTTGAATTCTTACAACAGTGCTTTTACTTATATTCAGCCTAAAAAAATTCAGAAAAAATTGGTGTTAATAGCCTATGCACATTTTATTGGAATAACAATGTCAGTGATGTTATCAGTGATATTATTTAATTGTTACTGGATGATGGCGAAATTGATAATTAGTAAATTCTTATATTGCTTTTATTTTCTTTGTTAAGGAAAATTGTTTAGAAATTATTATTTGGCGGATTCTTTCATGAATATTTGGTCATTAAACTATCATTCTCAGTAAATAATGAAATTCTGGAAGATGAAATCGATGGATTTGCAATGCTTATTATCATTTTTTCTATCGTGATATTATGTTGTAATCTGAGGGTAAGTTTTGCCGACTTTTATTTTGTACCATAAAGGTTCTCTCATCGATCATTTTTTCCCAGTTATTTAAGTAAATACAAGTAAGAAATCAAACTGCAATTATTATTAGCAAATTTCGCTGCATAGATAAATAATTAAGAAATGTTAAGAAGATTTTTTTTGCTAATAAAAACTCGATTAAAAAAAAAATCGGTGAATTCTTGATTGTCGATTTATTCACAATAAGTTGTATTTTTAGGTGTCGGGAACGATAGCGTTTGTGATGCTTATTGTGTCAGGTTTAGCAACAAGCAGTACTATACTCGTCGGTTTCTTCAATGCCAATCCAAACTATTGGCTTTCATCAAAATTTTTTCAACGTGGAATGCATGGGGTATTTTATTTATTTTATTTATTTATATTAGGTTATTTGATCTTATTTAAATTCGCAAACCTCCGCAAAAATCCGCGTGTTGCTGGCGACTCCTCTATTCTTTTATCGCCAAGAGACTCCTTGGTATTTGTCTAGTGCGACAATTCAATGGAGCGAGTCTAACCAGGAAGAAGCGAGGGCTCTTTAAAAAAAAAATTGGATACAAATTAAAATTAAAATTGGATTTTAGATAAAAGTGTCTCATAATAATAATTAATATTAATTAATATTAATTTAATATTAATAATAATCAATATTAATTGATATTCAAAAAACTTGATGAATTACAGATGATCAGTGGTGCATCGTTTTTATCATTGTCTTATGCAGGTATCGAAGCACTTACCTCTCTTTTAGAAGAGACTCACAATCCGAGAAGACGATTGCCTTTTATTTTTTCCTTCATTACCTTCCTATATTCATTATTAATCTTTATTACTATTATGATATTTACTTTAACAAATGATTCAACGAATTTCTCTATTCAAATGTTACCCGATATCTTCAATAATGTTAAAATACCCGCTGCAAGGTTTATTTTCTTTAAATTATTTCATTGGATGCAAAAAAAAATTCTCAAATTTTTTTTTAAATTTTATTAATTCTATTTTTAAATTTAGTTTTATAAATTTCAGATATTTCATGACGATTGGTGCTTTTTTCGGCTTATTTGCAGCAACATTCGTTGCTTTAATCCCCGCTTCTCGACTGATTCTATCAATGGCAAATGATAATCTTCTTCCTTCTATTTACTTTTCACGTATAACGAAAAAATCCTGCATCCCATACAATGCCGTAATCTCAGCTGGAATAATGGCAATATTATTGTTATTTATTCGTAAAAATAGTCTTATAGATATTGCTGCACTGAATTTGCCAATAAGATTTGTGCTAATGGTAAGTAGCGTGTCTCTTTTATAATATAAGTAAGTAATTAAGTAATTTGAATGCCACCTTTATCAAAATTTGCAAGGCACTGCCTTATTTTAATGATTATTAAGGGTTCTCTCGTTTATCTCCAACATTTTCGCTCGGATCCAATTGGCTTCACCACGGAAATAGCAAAATACAGAAAATTTTATGGAAAGTACTCAAAAACCTGCAAAGACAGTGGCGACCTGAAAGAAGAATCTGAAAAGTATGATTATTCAAATAAAATTTCGATTTTTATTTCAAATTTTTGATAAAATCAGATAATATTCAGAAAATGTTCAAATTCTTTTTTTAAATAGTTTTATGCCGACAAATAACTTTTTCTATTAAATGAAAAGCAAAAAATTCAATAAAATTTTTTAGCGAAATTTTTAGTAAAAAGTGGCTATAATTTTAAATATTGTATTTTAAATATTAAATTTATGATTAATTAATTAAATTACTCAATCAGATGCTCGGACGGCGATGATGAGAGTAGCACAACAAGTTCGGAGTATCTTCTCATGTACTTTTCGCAGAAAGAATCTCAACACTACCAACTGAAATTAAAAGAGGTATTTTTCATCAAAGAAGTGCTTTGTTTTCAGAAAAAAGCGAAAGCTTGGAGATTTTCATTTAAAACTCGAGTTAGTCAAGTCTTTCCATTTCTTTGCTGCAATAGTTCTCAAAATTGCCTTTCTCGCAATATCCACGCATTGATCCTGAGGTTTTATCATTTAAGGCTAATGAACACACCTTCTTACTCAATGTAAATAATAATGATCAATTCTTATCGAAAAGTTCCAATGAATCGAATTCAAAATATAAGACTTTCAGTTGTGTACGTTTTTTGCATATATTTCCGAATGATATGGTTTAGATTGATGCTAAAAGTCGCTAAAAGAAAGATTTCAAATTCCTAGAAAGTGAGGGTATTCGATATTTCCTTTAGTTCTTCCTTTTAACGACTTTTACGCTGGTAGCGCCATGTACTCATTTTGTTCAATTTATTCAATTACAGAAAACTGAAGAGAATGAATACCTATATCTTCCCATAAATGAAAAAATATCTGATGAAAATGTTGTCCTCAGCAAATTCGAAATTTTTAATCATGGCCATAACTGCATCCGATCGCCATGTTCGCCGGCTGAGCCTATCCTTCAAGGTGAGTTGCAGAACTGAACTAAAATATTGGCCTTTTGCCCTTTGCAACTTGAATCTATCTTTTATTTGAATTTTTTTCGTTATCTCTGCTTTGTCGATTAAATAATAAATTTGGAAATTACAAGAAATTCAAACTCAGATCAACCAAATAACCAAAAACTCTCATGAATTCTCCAGTTTGGAAGATCACTTTTTTTGTTCATTATAATGTAATTAGATTAGCCACTGAACTAGCAACGCATCACTCTGAAGTCATGAAAGTTGTCTTGTTAATTTCCTCTTCATTGATCCTTAATTTGATGACAAGGCAGTTTTCATGAGCTCAGAGTGTTGCGTCGTAATCAGTGGTATGCCAAAGTAGCGAACCAGCAAGAAAGATTCAAATATAATAGAAGACGATGATACCCATAAAGAAAAGGCCAATAAAGCAAGAAAAAATACAAAAAAATTATATTGACGAATGGCCCAATGAAGGATAAATATTACATTATAAAAGCTCCGCTAGAGAAGCCCAAAGGTGTAGAGACAGGCTGACCCCAAAGTAATTCGCTTTCGCATTTTCGTCTTTTGCCATAAATACAGTACAGCCATATGCACCGCGACTAACTAACTAACGTTGGTTAATTATTAATTATTTACGAATTTTTAAGCGAATTAATCAAAAATATTGTTGCGATTGCATATTTTTCGTAGAAATGGATATGTTTTTGCTTTCTGATACGCTTTCATTATTATCATTCATATTTTCCTTATTTCCGATAACACTCGCAATTTGACCATCTGTTTAATTCTAAGCATAACCTATGAAATTCATAAATTTAAGTTATTTGGTAATTTCTGTCGAGCTTAAGGTCCATAAAACTCGCTGATAAGACGGTCTTCAGGCTCAATTTATTAAATATTGTCAAAAAGCGCTCTGGAAGGTTCTAAAATGTGATGGTATTCCTCAATTCCTAAAGGCATTAGTATATCGGCTAAATTCTATGTATATGAGGGAAGAAACTAATAGGTCGTTTCAAAATAAGATATACGCCCTTTTCTCTTCAATATTCAGTTATATGACAGATTGGATTATAGACACCGCTTGCTAGATGTATTCAAGTTAATCCAGAATAGTATCTCAGATTTTGAATATGCTGGTCACGCCGATGAAACGATGAGTTCTTTTTACTGATCATCCTCTTCTTTACTTCACATAACTATATTCAGTTATGAACAAAATGTAAAAGATGCTAGATAGAATGTCGAAAACTACAGCATGAATCAATGTAAATCAGACGAAAGCATTTTTGCCTTATATACCAGAAGCTGATAAATTATCTGTATTTATTAACTTATCACTGATTAAGAAATATATCAGACTATGTATTATATATATATATATATATATGTCTTGGATCCACTCTTAAATCTATCAAATAAGCGAAAGATGAAATTGTAGCGAGGAATAACTGCGGCTAAAAATCTTTCTATCGGCTGGCGAAACTTCTGGAATCACTGCTAAATTACTCTTTAAATTCGAATTCGAACGAAAATTCGAATCTATTTAGTTGTACTATCCAGTTATAATAGTGAAGCATGGCTAATGACAGAGGGAGGATATTCAGAAGCCATCTGCCTTTGACCACTCATGTTTAACACAAGTTCAAGTGTTCGCCGAGTGTATAAAATCTTACATGGTTGCATCACTCAAATATCATCTGTTTTTCTTTCTTTAAAATAGACACGTTAGTCAATATCGTCATAAATTATCTATCGCCTATGCTGGTTAAACCAAGTTTTTCTCCCATCATAGAACATTAGCAACTAATTATTGAGCCTTGTAATAAATGGTGCCAAAAACAATGGTGGATCAATCAAAATCTAGATTGAAGCAGTCGGAAAAGATCAGATAGATGTAAGTAATCTTATGATATAGTGATGAAAAAAGGAATTGCTTCTCAGGTATGGCATCGGATCGAGTGTCCTGAAAACGCTTGTAGCCAATCTAACCAGTGATTTGTGATCTGTTACAATGATTTAATATCAAATGATTTGATATCATATGTTTCTCTTATAAATATAAAATTCGAATTTAAAGACGAATTTAAAAAAAAACTTAGGAAATTCAAAAAACCATGCAAATCAGCGTTTCCATCTTTTCGAAAATGAAGTACCCGAATTTCCGTACTGTTGGGAATATAACGGAAAGAAAGCGTCATCTCCCACTGATAACGTAAATATCGTCTACCGTCGTTCAATTTATCATCTGGTTGCTTTTATCGCTCTTTCAATCGTCGAAGGCATTCTAATCCGTATCATTTCTTTTGAAAAAGTAAAATATTTTATTCCATTGATCTTTTACAGAATTATATTTTTAAATATAACAATTTTTATAATAATTATAATATAATATAAATATTTTCTTAATAATAATAATCAATTTTATATAATAAATGAAGAAAAGTTTTGAACCAATTTACATATTCATATATTTACATATTTATTTACATATTCGTATTTTCGTTTTCTGATAGCTTCAAACTTCTGAAAACTGAAATATTTTAAAATATTGTCCATCAATATTGCAGATTTTCCTATTGCTCGCTGCATTTATCACTTTTTTATCATTGATTTGTCTTACGATTTACGTTTCACTGCAACCAACAAATCGTTCTTATTCAAATCGTCAATGTAGAACACCGTTATTTCCATATTTAACGCTATTATCGATATTTATATCATTAATTATGATAACCTCTTCAACACTGGTTTCATTTGTTAAAAATGCAATTTGGTTAGCGATTGGTAAGGATAAATTAAATTTTTATCTTTTTGTTTTCAGAAATAAATTCGAAATTCATTTGCTATTGTGATAAGCACATTATGGTTCTTCTCTACTCTACCAGTAAGGAATCTAATTTTATTTACTTTTCAGGTTGTATTGTTTATCGATGTTATGCTTACAAATACAGTAACGAACGTCGATTTGCTAGTTCTAATATTTTAACCTTTACACAAGCTTCCACTGACCAGAACTGTTCAGAAGTTATTCCAATTCTTTTGGCTTCAGAAGATGCTACACAATGAATAAAATTTTCTTATAATTGCTAACGACATGAGATCCTAAAAGCTATCGGCAATAAATCATTGGATCGCATTCGCATTATAACATACTTAATATTAGTCGTCTTATTTAGGGATACACAAAAAATAGCGGCTCATAAAATTGATTTTTTAAGTATTTCATTTTCAGAAAGCAATAGTAGTAATTAAAAAGTAGTAATAAATGAGTAGTAGTAAATTTTTGCATTTTGGCACTAAGAAATGTACTATTTCCTTATGTTTCATTGGCTGATCCGTAAAAAATTTTAATTTAAATGAAAAAAATTATATAATAAATACGAAAAATAATAAAATTCACCATCGGCGAAATATAAAATTTGCATAAAATAGTCCCATATAGCAAAAAATTCATAGGAAATTACATTACAAATCAGAATTCATCGAAAACGATATGCGTGGATGGCTAAATAGTAAAAATTC